TAACGACGGTTCTCTTCGCAATTGAGTGACAAGACGTATTGAGGTATAATCGAGAAAGCGTGAGCGTGAGTACTGTGCGTCCAGTCTGTAACGTAGCTATGCTTGTGGATGAAGTCTGAGCAAGATGGTATGTGCAGTATGGTACAAGATGCAGAGTCAGTATCATGTTGAGAATGGGGTGAGGACTGGACAAGAGATGAGATGGGCCATGGCATGTAACAGAAATTGACAGTCGACAAAACGAAAATAGACAATCTTCTTCTCCAGCTTAGTATTCGACGTCCGCGTCATCCGGCAATCCCGCCAAAACGCGGGCAGGCCTCAACACCCTCGGCTTCGCCCCTCCACTCCCGGGCAACACCATCGCCTTCTCGCTGCCGGTCCTCGCAGCCCAAACAGCAGCATCACTAACGCTCCTCGCCAGCTTCCTCGCAACATGCTCGCTGCTCGGACTATGATCGCTGCTAGCTTCCTCCTCATCACTGCTGTCCTCCTGTACACGCACGCGCTTGTACGACCTGTGGCCATGAGCGCGAGATGAAGACGAGAGCACGGAGAGCGACGAGACGCGTGCATAAGAACGGCGCATGCTAGGGCTCATCACGCCCCGCGCGGCAACGGGCTCATCGTCGCTGCTGAACGGCGTCCGACGTGGCGTAGCTGGGTGCATGATACTATCATCGCTCGCTAGAGCCGGAAGTTCACCAAGCGCGCGTAACGGGCTCGAGCTAGGCAATTCGACGTCGTCATCCTCGTCTTCATCGCTGTCGTCGATCGTGATGACCTCCACTTCGGGCTTGCGGCGTACAGGCGCAGAATGTATACGACGCGCAGGGAGGACGACTTCGACAATAGAGCGCCTGCGCTTGACAACGCTCGTCGCGCCGAGAGGAAGTGGCGGCGATGGGCTGCGCATACGTTTGAACTCGCGCTCGATGACGGCCTCGTTCGCGAGCGGGCTGGGCTCTGGGGCGCTACGCTTGAGCGGCGTAGGTGAGCCCGCGCGTTTGAAGACGTCGCTGTTGCTTCCTGTGCGTCCGAAGGGCGACTTTCCGACGGCGAAGCTCGGGCTCGGCTTGAGAGTCTCTCTGTGCTTGTCCTTGCTCCTGTCGCTGGGCGGAGCGAAAAGCGTATGCTCCGAGCGCGGTGTGACATTGGCGAAAAGTACCCGTCCGCTGGCACTTTCGCGGAGAACGCGTTTTGGCGGCGGAGGTGCCTCGAAGGTATCGCTCGCCCTGCGCTTAGTGCCCTTGGCGTTCGAAGGCGTAGGAGAAGCTTGAAGCGCCGCGAGACGGTTCGGAAGGGATGCTGCGTGGGCCAGCTGCATGCGCGGAGTATTATGCACTGTGGGTGGTGGGGGCAAAAAGAGGCCGCCAACGGGTACATTAGCAGCTGGAGTGGCTTCGTTCTCCTTGTTCCGCCTCGCGGAACTACCCGGTGTCCTGGGCGTAACATGCATGTTCGGCGTCTTGGGTGTACGCCTCGGCGGCGGCGTGGCTGGGCGTACAGGCGTGGAGGGAAGTTCGAGCTCCACGGTACGACGAGTGGGGGTGCTGGGTGGAACGGTGACCTCTTGTTCTTCATCGTCGTAGAGTGAGTCAACGTCGATGACTTCGCGCTCGACTTCAGCTTCTTCGTCATCCAGATCGAAGGCGGTGTCGGCGAGATGCGAGCCGGGCTCTTCGTTGTCCATATCGACATCCTCTGAATCTGGAACGTAGCCGGGGAGGAGTTTGAGGCACGCTTTGGGCCACCCGTTTTCCGGTACTGGCACGGTCGCAAACGTCTCCGTCCAGAAGTCGACGAACGCGGCTGCACCAGCTGGACGCGCAGATACTGCGTCCGCAAGAGGCGCGAGAATGGTCGCCGTGTCACTATCGAGGGGCAGAGAACGGGCGCAAACGAGAATAATCTCGAGCACGTTCTGCATCTGCAAGCAAGCTTTCAGTATGGATACGCATAGGTAGCAACATTCGTCGCATACGTCACTGTTGTGGTCATCCTCGTTGTACACCCCCTCTTCATCGCGCAACCATGCTGAAAGTGGCTCAACAAGCACGGCCAGGATAGCGCGCAGACGCGAGCGGGGCGCGTGGTCGATTCTCCCCGCAAGTGTACGGAGGAACCACAGTGGCGGCATCTTCTCCGTCTGCGGCGGAGGGTATGCGCCCGCAAGCATCTCGGCAGCCAACACATACACCTGTGCGCCAGGTACACCTTCCTCGTCCTCCTCATCCCCGCAGAACATATCGCCCTCATCAGGCATCTTCCCAAACAGCACGTCGCACACCCTCACGCCCATCCCTCCAGGCAGCACCACGAACTCCCTCCCGATCCTACTCGCCAGTGAATCGAGCACGGTGACGGACTGAATGCCGTCGTCCTCCCACGCTGACTCTATCGCGGAGTCGAGAAGCTGTTCCCAAGCAGCGAAGGTGGGCGCCGACATGTCCCAGGTCGTGCGAGGCAAGAAGGGATGGGTCAAGAGCGACAGTGTCAGGGTGTACGGCGCGTGCTGTTCAATCCATGTCTGCGCGAAAGCCGTGTACACCGCCGCACGGACGTCCGGAAGCCAGCGCCAGTCCCATCGTTCAGATGAGCGCCTGCCCTTCTTCGCCGACGAAGAAGGCGAAGACGATGATGAGCCAGGCAGGTTCCAAAACTCGCGGAGAAGATCGTCGGGAGCGAAGGGGAGAACCTCCGCACATAAGCCCGCCCATTGCTTGCGTTCGTCCGCTGAATGCACACGGCTAGCGGTGACGAGATTCGGCTCCTGCTCCATGAGGTACCGTACGAAGTGCTCCGCACAATCTAACTTCGCCTGATGCGAGGGTATCGACATGCCGATTGTGTTCCAGAGATGGCGCGCGAGCTCGAGCTTGATGCTCTCGTTGCTGCGCCACGTCTTCTTCTCCTTCCGCGCCTTGCCGGACTTGTGTTGCGAAGTAGGTGTGCAACCAGGAAGCGTACCGGGTTCGGAAGAGGGAGAGGGGTCGTTGGGGTCCAGTAAGAGATCGAGTTTGGTGTCCTTGAGCAGGCCGATGATGTGGTCCGTAAGACACATGCCGAACTGGGCGATCTGCCCTTCGCATTCGGCTTCGAGCTCCTCGGTCGTTGCGTCGGGATCGTCCGAAGGCATTGAGAGTACATGAATGCCGCACTGGACGATGCCATTCCAGGACGCGAGAAGGTCTTCGGGGATGCCCGACTGCTCGTGAACGACGATCGTTGTAATGGCTACGCGCCATAGACCGAGTAAACCGACGAGTGTCTCTGGCGCAGCGAGCTCTGCGGTAGTCAGCGGTCGTATAGTTTCCTCTCCTTCAAGTCCTCATTGTAAGCTTCTCAGTTGCGATGCAGATCCTCGAGAACGCTTACCAGGCGTACTGTCGAACATTGTCCTGACTGGACCAGCCAGCGTCGTTCCTAGGTCGAAATGGAATAGACCCGTGTTCGGACTGAACAGTGGCGGCGGGAGAAGCTTCTTCCAGTCCCATTGCCACTCCTCAATAGTCTCTCCGTTCTCGTCCTTGCCGTCTCCGACTAACCTCGCGAGAACTGCGATAGCCTCTTGCGTCGGCAGGCCGCTCTTGCTAACCATATCCCGCAGAAGTTGCAATACCCTACGCATACGAACATCGGGCCCGTCATCGTAAGGACTTGCCAGCACAGCGCCGACGGCAGCGATGCCCGTGCCCATGTCGGTGGCCTTGGCCGCGTACTTCCAGGTCGACTCGCGCTTCCTCGCCAGGTCAGGGTCTTCCGAAAGGCAGTATACCTCGCCCGGCGCAAAGGCTTCTTCTTCCTCGCCGACCAATGGCGAGCGGTGCCACGCCCAGCTGAACGCTCGGCAAGCGAGCATAGTCAGAACACGGATCGTAGAGCGCTCATGACGAGCACCCAAGGCGGCGAGAGCGGCCAGAAGATGTGTGAGTCGTTTGTCGACTGCCAGGCCTGAACCGAGGAGCACGGCGAGAGATGCTAAGATAGAAAGAGCCCAGACGGGTCCTTGAACGGCGTGTAGCGGTCGCTCGTTCTTCATTGCAGCCTTCAGCGCTGTGACGAGCGGTGTGTCGGCGATCCCCGTCTTGGCTTTCGTAGGTGACTTGACTGGCGAAGACTTGGAAGGGCTTGCGCTGGGTGTGGGTGCGGCGTCGATCTCGAGATAGTGTACCAGCTCGTCATGTAGGCGGGTGTGGGCGTAAGATACGGATAAGCGGGATGAGCCGAGGGCAAGACCACCAAGCGCGTGTGCGGCCATGGCGCGAAGAGCGAGTGTTGGCGCATGGGTCAATGAGCTCAAGATACTCGGAAGAAGCTCAGCAAAAGCGGGCACGAATACCGCTGGTGCGTGCAAGCTGAGATCGTGAATGGCCTATCAAGATGCGTCAGAAATATGATCATATCAGGAAAAGAGGAATACAAACCTTGAGACCATCAGACATGCTGCCCTTCTTTCCCTCTTTGCCCAGTTCGCCCTCGATGGCCCGCCTGAGCGCATACGCCACGCGATCCCTGGCCGGCAATAAGACCTCTTCGGGTAAGCGCTGGCTCTGTACGAGCCATATCGCGAGCGCACACGTCTTCCTCGCATTCGGCGTTGGCAAGACAGGCGCCAACGGTATTGCCAGAAGCGCCGTCAGGACTTCGCCCAGCGCGTCGTCGGCAAAACATGTAGATATCGCCGGAGTGGATAGTGCGAGGACCAAAAACTTGATGGCGGCGTGGGCGGTGCCGACGAGGTCCCTTGCGCGCTTAACCTGGGCTTCGGTCATGCCGCCCTTCTTGCCCGGACTTTGCCGAGGACTGGGCAGCAATACTTCGTCGCATTTCATCGCCTTATCCTCTTCGTCGGCTAGCGGGTTCTCGAGCGCCCGTCCGAGGTCACGCACGAGCGCCTGTACGAGCTGGTCCGCGTGACGTCTGAGCGGGCGCAGGAGAGGCCAGCTCGTCTCTGCTTCCGTACTCCCGTCCACCGCCCCTCTTAGGCGCGCGGCTAGTACGCTGTACGCCTCGACCAGCTCCCGCAGACTGACGCCCTCCTTCACAATCTGGCTCACGGGCCACTCCAGATATTCCAAGTTGGCCAATACATCCTCTGGCTCCGGCGTCTCCTCCCTCCCTTTCGTCCCCAAAGACTCGTCATCCGAAAATGGCAATGCAGGCGCACACGGTTCTGACTTGAGAATACCGCGTACGGGAGGTAGTCGGTGCGCCGATTTGGTCGAGGGTCGTTTTGGCGAGATATTCGGCGTGTGTTCCCGGACGTGTTCCTGCGCCGCCCAGCTGATCCGTCCCTTTAACTTCTCCTTTAACGCCTCCTTTTCCTTCAGCCGGTGCGCCGTCGTCGGCGGCGTAGGGAGGCTCATGGTGGGTGAAGGAGGAAAGGAGAGGAGGAGTGTGGTGGGTGGACAAGAGCAGGTGGGAACATTCAACGGACACACAACTGATGGCCGTCACACGCGTGTGGCCGTTGTTTATCGTGACAAACCGCGTTCGACGCGCTACGTTGATTGTCACGGGATCGCGTTTTTGCTTCCGCTTGCAGTCGACGCGTACAGGCAGACGTATCTGAGAGAGTGAGGGCACAGATGTGTTATATGAGAGTATAGGGACAGAGCGGGCGATGTACAAGGCTACGGCGATGTGGTTCAGCGCGCATATAGCCGCCCACAAAGAACCACACGCGCAGACGCGTGTCCGGACGGATCGAACTACAGCCGATGGCGGGGTGTAACAAATAATCAAGTACTACTGAGAGAATTCTGATTATATATACATAGAAAACATGCACCATCCTATAAGCTCTAAATCACTCTAATCTCGCCAATGCGCCGCGCAACCTTGCCAACTCGGCCAATGCCCTCTCATCCTTCACGCCCCGCGCCACGTACGTCTCGACGGTATTGATGGCGTCAACGAGATTATCAAAGCCCGGTATGGTCTGGGATATGGGGCCACCTCCCAGAGCCAGTCCCGGTATATCTCCACCAAGCCCAGGTAAAGCATCACCGCCCAAACCAGGGATCGCGCCATCATCGCTTTCATAGGCTCCTGCACCCTTCGCGTGCGATCCTGAGTCTGTTCTAAGGCCCAACGCTCCTGGACCTCTCGGAAGATTTCGAAGCATCTCAAGTGAGCCTCGTTCAGAGTAGGAGAACCTCCCGGACACATCTGGGTCAGGTTGGCCGGGTTGGGTGCTTGGGCCGCCGTCACCCGCGCCAGCACCGACGGGGCCGAATCCAGGTATATCGCCGCCTCCGAGCCCTGGGATCTCCCCGCTTTCGTCTTGCCATGCATACGCATTGGATGCGCTCGCCGCTGCTCCGGTCGGCTTCTGACCTCGGGGCAACCTCCGCAGAAACTCGATCGAGCCCTGTTCAGAGTACGAGTACTGTGCGGGCGGAGAATCGGCACCAACAGGACTCTCCGCAAAGTACGCTCGGTGAGTGGGAGGCACTTTCGGGCTCGGGGATCCGGCGTGGGAGTACGAGAGATTGAACGTGAGGATTGGTGATGTGCCGCTCGTGATACGTTTGCGCGTGCTGGAGAAGAACTTCGCGGCCGGGGAAGAGTAGTCCTGGTCGTCGTCTGCACCTGGTGTGGCAGGTACTGCGAACAATGAGCCTCCTGTATACGTATGAGAGATTGCGCGTGAATGCACACCTATTTCATCGTCATCCTTCTCCCGCCTGCTATACGAGTACCGCCCGAATAATGAACTCCGCGTCACGTTACCGCCGTCTCCGTACCCGACACCAGGTACATCCTCAGCGTGTCCTCGCGCACACTGTATGCTCCTTGTAGCGTCCTTCCTGCAGTCCTCTTCGTCTCCATCTCCATCATCCTCGTCAACGATCATGCCCTCATCCCCGTCCCAATCGTCATCTGGCTCAGATGCGGGCACGACTTCCTCATCATCCCCAGCTAACTCGTCAGGTTCGCCGATGGGAGACGACAGCGGGGCTTCGGATGGTGCAGGCGTCGGTAAATGAGACTTGCGTGAGCGACTCGAAGACGCAGTCTGTGGATGATTGGTATCCGAGTGCGAGTGTGCTGGCAGCTCCTCTTCCTGTCGGGATGGGGGACGTCGCGCAGCGGTGGGTCCGCGTAGCTGAAAGTGAATGCGAGCGGAGCCCGAACGACCCTGCGCTTCATCCCGCTCCTCCGCTTCAGGCGTAAGTCGACGACGCTTAGCGGGCGGCGCCTCCGCTTCCTCACGCCGTGCGAGGGACGCCTGCACCCGACCTGCTAATCCCGCGAGCTGCGACGGGCTGGGCAACACCCGTGCTTGCAAAGGCATACTCGCCAATCGCGGCTGCTGTGTCTTGAGAAGCCGACTAGACAGGCTCGATTGAGCGGCCCAGTACATGGCCGATGACGTCTGTCCGTCCAACTGCGAGCTACCCTTAGGATTCTGTTCCTGTGCTGGTGGCTGTGACATTTGTATTGAGGGTGTCCCCTGCCCGCCCATCTGACTCGCACCCGTGTCTTCCTGCGTCTCCATCCCCTCCGGCACCTCGTGCCCTAGAAAGACGCAGAGTGCCGATACAATGGCCTGAATCTGATACGGATAGTCGTCTCCCTTGAGACCAAGACGGCCGTGCACGCGTGTCCAGAAGGCCCACAAAGCGTCCGCAGCGTGACCAGGCTGAGTGAGTCGGTCCATGGCGGATGTGAAGAGCGGTGCGAGTGCAGTCAGGTCCGAGAGAGAGATTATATCCGATGGACAGGAGGACGTCGGAGGCGCATCTGGCGCGTTGGCGATAATGGGTGGCTCAAGGGCGTCAAGCAGGACCTCGAACATCTTGACGATCACGTCGTTGTATAAGTCGTCCGGGATAGCGTGTCGCCCGTCGCCGACCCAGGCGTCAAGGCCGGGCAAGAGTGTGACCACACTGCGAATGCTGATTCCACGAGATGCGACATTGGCCTGTAATATGGAGAAGATCGTGAAAGTAGGAACATCCGTCCGCGTGGCGGTCTGGTGAAGAGTATCGTAAGCCCCCTTCAAGTACTGGGAGATGAACCCTAAGCTCTGTGTCGCTTCCAAGCGCAGCGGCGCAGAGCGCGCCAGAGCAACGGCAAGAGTGAGCGCATCAGTGTTGTCGACGGCGCTTGTTGACATTCCGCGGACCACTTCTTCGACTGCGGACCATCCGTCTCGCATATCTCCAGCGCCCAACATGCAGGCAAGGCGGGCCCATGTGGTACGAGACGAGAGGTCCCCCGCCTCAGAGGGTGGTGAAGTGAGTAGTGCCTGTAGCAGAGGTTGCGCTACCGGTTGGAGTATCTCGCCACTCAGACGCTTGATGGCTACATCCCAGAACTGACACTGAAGGTCATATGCCGAGGAATCGCCGTCAGGTGGGAGGACGATAATTGTCGTGAATGCTTCCACAAGACGAATCTTGTCCTGCAGTGGAGCCGAAGACCGCAGGAGCGCCTCAAAGACCAAGATGGCCTTGTCCTACACCGATCGATGTCAGAATGGAAACTACAATCGGTAGACCGACTTGACGTACACTGTATGAACTGTGCTGCACTAACATCGCCCAGCAATCCGCCAGCGCCGTCCAATGGGTTACGATATCGTGATCATTCAAGGACATCACATCCGATGCGCCAACAGGTGTTTCAGCAGGTGCACTTGATTTCCCGAGAGCGCGACAGCTGAGAAGACGGGCAAGTACAGCCTCTCGTCGCACGATCTCCGTGTCTCCGTCCTCGTCGGATTCCATCTCAACATCCTCCCCTCTACCTAGTGACGTGCCCACCAGTCGTGCAAGCATATCTTCTCCGTCCTTGGCGCCGTCCTGGACCATTCGTCGCACAATACTGAGAGCGGCATTGATGTTCCATGCCTTATCTTGGTCGTCCGCTTTCGGACCGAGCGCGCAGAGCATCGCGGGTACGAAGGACGCCGCAGCGGAGTACGTGCTGCCAGCGTAAGATTGTGTTGGATTTGACGGTTGATGCGGCTCGGGTGCGGCCGGAGTTGGAAGAGAGGGCCAGGCGTCGAGAAGTAGCGATAGCGAATGATCAGTCACAGGTTGTTGGCTTTGGCTCTTCTTCTCAACGCGTGACACGGACTCGCTATGCTTTTGTTGCCAGAGCCGCATACACGCAAACGAGTGCGCTAGTATGCGATAGATGTCGGCCGTGAGCTCCTCGCGAGATGTGCCACTATCATCCTCATCAAACGCGGGAGCTGCAGCAGGGGATCCTGCCACGCTGCCCCCATCTGAGGAACCTGGAGATGATGACAGAGGTGTGTCGTCCTTGGGCTTGTCCGGTTGTACGCAGAATGTGAGCATCTTCAGCGATCCTGGTAACCACCAGATCCTCCGGCCCAGAAGGGCCAGCAACGTCGCACTGATTCTCCATGCCCATGTGCCCCCTCCGCGTTTACTCTCCCTGAGCCTATTCCAGAATGTGTCGTCGACGTTCGCCGAGCGCAGCTTGCCCTCGGCTTTACTCCAGTCGCGTAATGGATAACCAATTTCTCGCTCAAAGTCAGATGAACTGGTTTCCGGGGTCGGATAGAATAAATACGCGTGCGCTATGCCAGTGACGGCTTGTGTCGCCCGCGTACGGAGGGTAGGATAGCAGGAAGTGAGTATCGGGTATAGCTCGGGGAGAAGAGGCGTAAGGTGAGGGAGGGCTGTGGACGGGTATTCGTTGATGAGATTGGCTACTGACTTCGGTATGTCAGCACTGTGCGATGTTAGGAAGACGAGATGGATCTACCAGGATGCTATAGTGCAATACGTCGTCATCTTTCTGGGCGTACTCCTTGTTTTGCAGAACTGCATGCATAGCCTCAACGTACGGCTCGTACAATTCGTCGAGCAAAGCTTCAGGGAGACGAGATAGTCGCATCCGTAGTGTGTACGCAGCCTTTGGCCGTATGTTCCCGACTTCGAAGTATAACGTGGACGCGCCGACAATGGCGATAATAGTCTGGTATATGCGTAGAAAGTCCTGGCCTGCATCTATCAGGACCCACAGTAATACATGTTGTGAGTCTCAACGCACTATACTGAACAAGCAGCTCGTCGAAGAATGTACACAACACATCAAATGTGCGCAGTGCCTCGAAACATCGTAGCGCCCCGCCATATATCCGCCCGCGTGCGTACAACTCCTCTGATTCCGCCTCCCATATTCCTTCCATTTTCAGCCAGTCCATAGGGTATGTCGCATACATGATGTCATGTTCTATGGACTCAGCCAGGTCACGAAAGTGCACTCGAAGGAGAGGTAGGACAGCGTCCGGATCTTCGGTCCGCTTGACGGAGTCTAGATATTCTCTGAGTGCGCCATAAGCATGTGCAGTATCGTGATCACTCGAGACTGGGTGGCGGGCGACGATGGTTCGTAGAGGGGCGAGCATGGGGTGAAGATATGATGTGGTGGCTTTGCTGGACATCGTGAGATATATAGGTATACAGTGAGTCCGTATCGGATAAGAAGGTGTCGGTGTCGCTGGTTGTCAAAGAGATAATGTAGTTGTGAAAGGTTCGTATAGAGTGAGTTGGGTGGTTCACAGAGGTCGTGGCAAGGACATGGACGTCCCGGTTGAGTCGCGTGGCGACGCGCGCGCTCAACCAGAATCACGCGTGACCGCGGAATTTCAAAGTCGCTCGCACGGGGAAGGCCTGGGAAAGCATCATAGACAGAAGATACGACTGTATACGCTTATGGCAGTGCGTTTGTATGTATAGCGGTAGCAAATACAGTCCCAATAGCCCGAGAGACGAGAGAAAGCACAAGTAAAAACAACATGCATGAGACAGAACAAAAAGAATCTCGCGTCCACCAGCGAGATGCCAGGCACCCAGCTACTCATACACAGCCTCTCATAGTGTATTTGACGTTTCCCCACCTGGCTTTCCGGCGGTGACTTCTGGCAGAGCTTTAGGCTCCCCGTACTCCGGCAGCTCATCACCGGCCACGGACTGCACAGGCGTGCTGATCGCAAGCACCTTCAGGGACGGGACCTGCTCAACGGGAACATCCTCTCCCGTTACCTGAGCGAGAAGTCAGCATTTCTTCAAGAAGCTACGTAATGCTCGACTCTTACCTTGACAATCCTCCAGTCTAAATTCTCCTCCAAAAACGCGCTCACAACCTCCGGTTCTGCGCCACCTAGTCCTTGCCTCTCGATGGCATCGTCTAGATGCACGAAGCCCTGACTCGTCGCGTTCGACCCGTTCATGAACGCGCTCGTCCATATACCATGCGAGCCCATGTAAGAAGGCGAGAAACGGTAGTCTTCTGCCGAAACGGGTACAGGGCCGAGGAAGACAAGGATATCGTACGATCCGTTAAGAGCGTTCTGGGCGGCTTGAAGGCGAACAGTGTAGTCGTAAGTGGTGCTATTGTCGGAAGCCGGAAGTGCAGGGCTTGTGGAGTTCGCCGGCGCTGCAGGGTCCGTGGGGTCGGTGAACGAGGGTGCATCAGGACCAAATGCAGGCGCATTGGGGTCAAGTAGCGCCGTGACGTTGAAATCAGAGTCTTTTATTTCGTCCTCGTTCAATTGACGTCGCGCATTGCGATTGGGACCGTAGAGCTGGTTGACTCGGCGCGCGATGGCCTGACGGACGCCGTCCCTGTCGCTCATGTTCAGTCCACGGAAGTCCGCATAGCGGTAGCCGAACTATATAGAGAAAGCCGCCCAAAGTCAGTCCAGGCCAAGACACCGGAGAGAGCCAGTCAAAAGTGATACGCACGCGCTCGGTGGGGGTGACTTGAGACGAGTGCCAATACGCCGACTGGGAGGCACGGAAGGGCGTAAGGTCTGCATGAACATCAAGGTCTGCGAAGACTTGCCAACACTCGGGATGACACTACGTACCGGTATTCGTGTCCACTTCAGTGCGGGGCGGTATTGTCCATGACCCACCGCCCGAACTCCCAGGGACAACCCAAACGCCGGCATTAAGCGCCTCCCAGAGCGCGATCACCCTATCAACATTGGCGTGATGCAAGAAGAACAACGGGTCGAACGCCGCGACAGAAGGGTTGCTCATCTGGCCGCTCCCGCCGACGTCGTTGTGAATGCCGTCGTGGATAGCTTCGATAGAGTTCGCTGGAGCATCCGAGGGAGGGCCTGAACCGGTGCCAGCGCGGTTAGAGAAGGAAGCCCAGGTGTGTACACGGGTGAGGGTCGCATAAGTCTTGGAGCGGACGTCGCTTTGCTGCGAGGAGAGGCGCCTACGACGGAAATCAATCTCATTCTCAAGAGCGACTAGCGGATCGTGGGAATGACCCACCTGCGAAGGGCATCGACGTCCGACTGCACGCCCGAACCGCTACCCGTCGGATGCCGTACTGTGATAGGGAACGTGTTGTACGGGCTGTCGAAGTTCCTGTCGATTGGGTGGAACCTATACTGGTATAACGGATTCGCCATTTGTCTCCTCGAGCCATCCGACGCCGTGTACGTGACCTGTGTGTCCGCAATAACTTGACGCGGCGGCACAATCTCGCTAGCCCAGTCCCAGAATGGCAGCCTTAGGGCGCGTGCGGCAGCTTGGAAATGAGCTGCGCGATCACCGGTGTATGTGCGCGAGATAGCTACTGCGCGCACTTGAATCTCTTGCTCGAAGAGGGCGACGTAGGGCCTATGCCACGAAGGGAACAATACATTGCCATGCTGACAGTATCCTGGCCAGGATCCAGAAGGCGGACTGGTAGAGCCAGATCCGTCCCAGCGAACGTACGGAGCGCCATGTATGCCTGCAATCTGGAAGTAAGACACGACATCGGACTGGTCGTCGGCTTGCATCGCAGCTGCGACGGATGAAGTGTCAGCATGATAGTGAGAGAGGACAGGAAATATCAGCATACCGAGTGCCTGCACAAACAAAGACCACTGTGCGTCATCCTCGATGAGATCGTTGATCTCGAGCCGGTACTGTACGCCGCCGGGTGCGCCCGTTGTGAGGACGTGCTGTCCAATCTGGCGCGCGACAAGAGTCGAATCGGACTCTGTAACCGCAGGTCCACACTCTTGATCTCGGCATGGTATGGCCACAGCGTTGGCGGCAATCAATCTGGCGGGATGGTCAGACTGCGAAAGCTCGCGATGAAAGGAGGAGACTGACAAGGATGAGGCGGCGCAACCCACGGCAGCGATGGCAAGCGCCCTCAGTAGCGGGGATACAGGGCCCCGACGGCGACGCTCGGGAAGTTCCGCGGGAACCATGCTCGCCATGGCTGACACCGATGTGGACGCGATCATATCCGGAAGGTAGATGGAGGCCCGATTCGCGAGGTAGGGAATGGGAATGCGCTCTGCATGATGCGTACTATGCGCGCGCTTTGAGGGAAAGCATAGCGATAGACTTGGCCTGAGACTGAGTCGACGCCGTAGGAAACCAGCTGGAGGGGAGGTCTAGATCCTGTTCAGTCCCGTCCTGGCTGTCTGCACACTCCTGCCCGATGCGCTTCGAGGGCGGGCACTCGGGCGACTCGGAGGATCATGGTCGTTCTCGGAATGAAAAGGATTATGGCGAGGCCTTTCCGGCCTTGTCGTTCGTGCGGAACGCGGTCAACTTTCGACAGTAGCTTTGTACGCCGCGACCGACGAGATGGCCCGAGCAAGAGCGGGACTCCGTTGCCTAGAGGTGCCGGACTGGTAGTATCGACAGAGTCGTGAAGGCGGCAAGCAAGCAATTACGGCGTTCATGTGGCGCGGTCCGGATATCCGACCGAGGCGCTGTGAAGCGCGACGGGATCGACTTGCGCCGGCGCGATCATGACCTGTGCACAACATGGCGCTCGGCTTGGACCCAACGTTCATCAACTCTCCAAACCTCTTCTCACCTCGAAGTCTCCGACTCACAGTGAATACTTCGGGCTGCTGTACTTCGATCTTTGATACACTAGTCTTGCGGACTTGTCACACTTGAAACCGTATTCGTCGGTCGAATCGAGAACACTCTGTGGCACTATGTCCTCCTATGGGGAGAGTTTACCTGTACATAAAGCCTGAGCTTGCTGTCACTTGGCTTAGGCTCATGTACTACTAGGATCAAGTCGATCGCGTAGCTAGCCTATCAGATGCGCAAGCAGACCTATTCGACGATGTTGGTGGAACCGCAAGGAACGTCGTTGCTCGAGAGCTGACTCTGATTAGGTACGCGAGTTGTACCGTGATCGCGCCGCGCTTGAGAAGGAGTATGCCACGAAACTCCAAATTTTGGCAAAGAAAGCCGTAGACAAGAAAGCTAGGAAGATGGCTGCGGCTGTCGTGGGGGATGATCCTACAAAGGCCTGGAGTGAGGAGACGCTCGTTCAGAGGTGACCTCTCGTTTACGTCCGCGAAGGCATCGCATTTGACCTGATGGAGATTAACAGCACTGTGGAAAACGCGTACGCTAAGATCATAGCATCCACGCTCAATACGGCTCAGCATCATAACGACGTTGCTGAGGCGCTCACCATGCAAGTCATCGGGCCACTCATGGTACTCGACAAGAAGAACCAGGATCATAGGAAGAAGGCTTGTGCTCGCCTTTTGGGGATGTGGACATAACTCATGCGATACCGTAGCTAGGAGCCTTCTACCAGAAACTACTCTCGGATCGTGATAAGGTCTTCGGCGATCGTGCGAAGGTTCGTCGACCGTAGCTTCCCAGTTTCAGTTCACTGATGTCGAGCTATATCAGGCGAAATCTAAGGTCGTCCTTCCCTCTGCAGGCTCTTGCGTGTTATCTGACTTCATCACAGTACGATGCTGAATGCGATGAAATCGAGACGTATCGAGCTAAGCAGGTAATAGGCGCCAATTCTCCTCTTCGTATGCACTCATGTCTTTCTCAGGATCGCGCTTCTGATGACAAGCACGCGGAGCGCGCGGCTCGTCAATTTGAGCAGCAGAAGGCTGATATGCTGAACGCCAAGAAGTATGTGCTGTGAAGTTAACGTCTGTCAATCGCGACTGAAGGATGGCATGTAGCGTCTACCTCATCTCCATTGCGACTGCGAATCAGATGCAGAAGCGCTTTTACGAAGTGGACATACCGGGTCTAGAAAATGTCAGTCGTTCACGAGCCCCCCTTTCCTGTGCAAGTGGCTGATACCGTGTCAATAGCAACACCGTACGACTGAGTCGCTCGAGCCGTCCTTCACGCCTCTAATAGACATGTTCCAGAACTGTTACAGACCCACTTCTTGACAAACATCGTCAACGTATTGAAACACGCTCAAGAACTCCAGGCCGGCCACTATGATGCGCTAAAGGCCGAGGTAGTGGCTGCTGAAGGCACGTTGTCCGAAGTCAGCCCACCACGAGACCAGGCGCTATTCATCGATCATAATACTCGGCCCTTCATACTTCCTCGGGATCTTTCCTTCGAGCCCTCTCCTGCACACTATGATAACGCAAGGACATATTTTCAACATGATGACTTGGGTTAACACTGCTTTTTTAGGCTGACATGAGTGTCGAGTACGCCCCGAAGGTGTATTTGCAGAATCGATTGTCGAAAAGCCGCGCGAAGCTACAGGAGCTGAGACCGCTTCTTGATGCAAAACGTACGTTCATGCTCTCCCCTCTTGATGGAAATGGTTGTTGATGTGCACATCTTAGGTCGAGACGCTGAGCAAGCCCGGAAGGTGCTTGATGCTTACGAGGCCAATCATTCTCTTGGGAATGCCGACGAGGCCATGGAGGTAAGATATCCCTCCTGGTATCATGAATTCCGCTCACCCGGAGTTTATAGACGTATTTGGAAGCCTCTCATCAGATGACCTTGTTCGACGAGTCCAGAGCTGCCCTAGAGGAAGAGATCAAGCTCATACAGGAGACGCTCAAAGGTAAATCTTCGCGCGCTTATTGCTGAGAGTAATTTGCTCACCCCGGATGTGACGTAGGCGATGAAGGTTCCCAAAGTCCGCATACGTTCAAGAGTTCTTCCTTTACCATCCCGACGGAATGCGCACACTGCCGGGTTGGTGACAGTCGTGCACCTCGGGTTCGAGTATTCGCTGATGGCAAGTACGACAGACCTCGATTTGGGGTTTGAGCAAGCAGGGAAAGACTTGCAAGCTATGCGGTATCTCTGTACATGCCAAATGCGAGCTCAAGGTGGCACTCGTGTTTTGACGGAGATCGCGCTTGCTGAGACAAATCACAGGTAGCCGCTGATTGTACGCGTGTGCGTGGTGGGCATAAGTCGAGACCTTCAGACGCTAGCGGGGTCTCACGCACTCAGAGCATTATGTCCACCAGCTCAAGTACACTGTCTAAACGTGGCAGTACTATAGGTCAGTACACTAATCACCTCGCCTATGGGTTATGAAACTAATGCGCCCCGATTCAATAGTCTCGATGCCTACACCTACACCGTCATCGTTCGGCCCGGAACCTCAAGGAGAAGAAGAACAACAAGCGCGTGCTCTCTTCGCGTACGCTCCCACGTCGCCGTTCGAACTCGGGGTCGAAGGTGATTAGCCGCCGGTTCGACCACGCTTCGTGGAGCTCACGCTTCAGCAGAAAACGCGATCGTGTCCATCCTTGAGGAAGACGATGGATCTGGCTGGGTCAAGGTTGCTGACGGCAAGGGAGGCAGGGGTCTTGTCCCGGCGTCTTACGTTGAAATCGTGGGCAGTTCGCCCACGACGCCCCAAACGCCCGCATTCAAGAATCCAACGGGCGGCAAGACAGGTGAAGCTCGAATACCTCATATCACTTCGAGAGTACGGGGCACTCATGCATGCGTAGTTCGCGGACTGTACGATTACGAGGCGCAAGGCCCGGACGAGCTGGACGTCGCCGAAGGCGGCATCTTGCAATTGACGCCCGGTGGCGAGAATTACGCAGAAGGCTGGTGGGAGGGTGTGTCAAGATTCAATCGAGGCAACCAGCGGAACAACACTAACGGAATCTACAGGCATCGATGCGCAGGGGAAGAAGGGTATTTTCCCGAGCAACTACGTGAGCGAAGGTCCACGTAGTACCCGCTTCTCCATTCGACTGACGCCTTTGCAGGTCACCTTGATCTGAGAACGAGGGTGATGTCGTACGATCTATTCTCCACTTACGTCGATGGACACTAGTACGGGTGTACGAGTATCGCCGATTTGAAGTGAATGGCCGTAGGCGCCATTTAGACTTGGCAAAGCAGGGGTTGTCAATTAGCCAACCAGCCGCAATCAGAGTGAAGCCGGGCGCAAAAAGTCCGGTCACCACATGCTAGACGCCGGATAGTTACCGCGATTATTTGAACACCGTCAAATGCCGGTCGGTCAATTCTTGTATGTCATCATTTGCCGGGCGAGACGCCTTGGAGACGCCGTGCGCTACTTAGACGCTTGCTTCGTGGGGCGACTCGACGAAGGATACCACGGCTCACCGCGAGCCCCTCACCGCCCATCGTGCACGCATTGCCCTCTCTCCGACCCGCGGCTACGTGTCCGAGGAGAGCATGGTGTTTCTCGCCGAAGGGAATAGTTCCGTGCCCGAGCTTCAAGATCTGAGACGCTCAGATCATTATCAGGGTTGGTCGAACCGGGCTATTTGGAATTGATGCTGCCTGCATGGGGCGTAGTAGATTACGGGTACCCTACGGCTGGAGAGGTTCGTTATTGGAGCCCGCTGTACGTTCTGGGTTCTGGCCGCCCTCGAAATAGGATGCCCGATCGCCATTAGCGTAGCACTCGACTAGCTTACGACGCCGTTGATTCGAGTCCTGGCTCATCTCGGATGCTGGGCATGTTATAAATTATACCCCCCGTACCAGTGTTTTGGGGAGTGAGAGAATGGGAATATACAGAGCAACTGTAGCCGGGACCAGCCAAGGGCTTCGAAGACACTGAGTATATGTTGGCGCTCTGAAGTCAAAGCACAATTCATTCGCGAGCGCGACGGGGTTTTTTCAGGGAGATCGGTACCTCGCACCGCCGCAGTAAATGTTGCGTTTGACGTCGCGTACGCCGGTGCATGAGTTTATCCACAGACCTTCGCATGTCGTGCGCGGTGTACGTAGAGCGGGGGTTTCGCATCAGCGACGTGAAAGCACCCTCGCACGGACAAAGGCAGAGCGACATTGGTTTCAAGATATGGGACGACGTAGATTGTTCGTGTCGCGAGTCTAAGCAGAATAGGAAGGTCGTCGTGTGGCGTACGGCCGCGGGCAACTGGCCGCCGTTAACCTAGGAACTGCCGGAATCGTCATCACCCAATGCCAAAACAGCTGCTCGATCGACTGAAACCGCACGGGGACTAAGCGTTCGGACACGAAGTATGTCGGCGCGGAGACCCGCGAGGTACGATCGGTATATAAAGACAGTTCGTCCTACCGGGATTCCGTCAGTCAACGGCCATCCTTCTTCTACCTCAAATTCCGTACCATATCGTCCTCAGCATCTTCAAGCCATGAGAAACAAACCCTTCAAGCCGAAAAGTGCGTGCACATCTCACTGGAGAACCAGGAATGCACCGTTGGGTAATACTTGCCGGCTTCCATACACATTCTCGTAGGGCACTTGCGGCGCAATCGTTCCTCGTAGCGTTCTCGCCGAGCAGCCTCCGACAGCCTCGATCGTGTACGTCCGAAGCTCCGGGGTTACTCTTGCGATGGATGACTGCGAGGACGCTTCGCCGGGGTGCACCATGCGGCGACTATGCGAGCAAGCGGACGAGCTACGTTGTTTGCCGGTCATGCCGGGCGCTGAACTTCTCACAACTTCTCATCATGCCACCTTCTATCTCTGCAGGATGGGCCGGGCCTGTTGAATGTCGATGGTAGGGCGGCGCCCGTCGTGGCTTCGGGGCCGTTGATCAGCGAAGTGTGTCCTTTGGGTTCGCGGGTCCCATCGGACCATAGAGGTCCCAGGTCTAGGTCTGCTGTAGCTGTTGCTCGTTTCGCCTTCGTGTAAAAGCTAGATGTACCGCATTCAGCGAGATAGCTCAGAGACGGCCGGGATAAATGCAGCGCCACCTATGACTATGTACAACCTTGCGCTATGGTACGGTAGACGAAAGCCGATGTACCCTCTTGCCGATCGAATAGTTGGCATTCTGCGCTAACCACATCACCGGCAACCTAAAGCGAGGATGCCACGGCGAGCGGCGCACAAGACTCGCAGCGGTATAATTCACGGCACACCATAGCTTCTCGAAACCTCTTGAGGAATATGCAATTGAGCAGGCGAGCGCTGATGTAGGGACCGGCACAAGCTAGCACCCGAGCGACTAGAGAGCTTGGAGTCAGGTCGCCCGGAGACATCCGCTTGTACAACGAAGCTCTGCTGCAATGAGATTCAATCAACAAAGACACTGGATACAAGTATGATGCATAAAGATACAAGGGACCGTCGAAGACGGATCAGGAAATCCGGTCCGACAGACGATACCAAAGACGGGTAGATCGCGAGATAGACGCTACCTCCCACCACCAACCCCCATGGCACTCCGTAGGAAGGCGCCATTGGTGCCTAGCGGCCCATATGTCCCTCCTGGGGGCATCTGCGCAGCCATAGCGGACAATGCAGAATTTTGCATGCCCAGTGCTTGCGCTTGCATACCACCAGCGCCGTTCTGCGTCTGCATGTCTCGGACTACACCCCGGTCTTCGCGCTCGGCTGCTGTTGCTCCACCGCGTCCGGGATCTGGAAGACCATTCGTTTGAGTGAATGTCTCTCCCAAGCCGTAAAGCTTTCCGTTGAACTCCTCGTGGTTGATCTCATCCTTCAACACGACCTCGCGAACTTTGAAGAACGTCGACGCCGTCAGAAGGGAATCAGAACCGGCTTGGTGGGGCAGACCGATACGCATGACCTATCATAAAGATCGATCAGGTTTCGGCTGGTATACCGCTCCCAGAATACGTACCCCCAGATCGTCTGCCACATCTTGCAACCCTCCCTTGAACTGCTTGTTCTTCCGTATCATGGTCTTGATATCATAGGCAGTCGGGAACCACGTATGTAGAACATCAAAAAAGTCGTCTTCCGACGTTGGCAGTGATAATGCAGACAGAAGCTTGATCAAGTACCCGAAGTCATAGCCACTGACGCCACAGGTCAGCTCCAGTTACGATAGTGTAGACGCAGCGTGCGTAATAACGTACCTGTGAAACGAGACCCACTTCGTATCATCCGATAGAACCAAGCCTGAGGTTATCATTAATTCCGCAAAGTCGTTGGGTAGGATGCCCATCTCTTCATGCCGTTGGAAGTCAATTCCGGACTTCTGTAGCAACTCGATGGATTCAGGCGCGTACATATCCTGACTGAGCAACTGCCACTTCAATACTATGTGAATCTGAAGGTATGATGGCACGCACTGAATACTGAACTGGAAGTTGAACTCCCAGGTGGATATGTCCTGGGGGTAATTCCCGTCCTCGTCCGCAAGCGTAAGGCCGACTTGGATGGGTTTCAGCAAGTCGACGTTACATCGCATTGTTTGATAGTGATAGTCGGACGAAGTCTTGAAAGATCCTATTGGGCGCGCTACGACGCCGGGAAACTCGGTATCCTGCGGCCAAGTATGAGCTGACTGCGCGCGTTCAACCGAACCAGTGGCGTACCATGGCGATCACGGGATATTTCTCGACCAGCTCGCGTATTGCCCGCATCTCATATTCAAGGTTGTTCGACCATACCTCCTTTATTGGAGGCATGTCTGTAAAGTGCTACTGCACGAGCGCGGGGTGGTGGAAGCAACTGAGGAACGCGTCGCAGGCGCTTCACTCGAGCGGCCGAGTCTGGGCCGGCCGCCCACGTGGAGGCCTGTAGAGGCACCTACAAGGACAAGCAAGCGTAAGTACTCTCGAACCGCGAAATGAGCGATTATATCATAGGGCAAGAATATGTATGCATATCACAAGCAATTGGTTTCTATGGCTGATATGATTGTAGCATAAGGGTTCGGGCGACCGCCGCCGCATGAAGAATCGTCGCATCGACCTTGCTACATGCCTCCGATCTCAGGCTCGTCCCTGTTATGAGTTTCGGCGGTAGGTTCACTTTGTTGTTCCGGACATTCGCTATTCGCGGGGAAGGCAGAGAACACTAAGTATGAGCCTTGAGGTCCGCGCTACTCAGAGCTGGCTGATGGCCGAGCGAGGACAGGCGTCGGGAACACGAGTGGCGAACCGTGAGAACGATGGCTCGCGGGCCGGACAAGCTCAAGCTCTAGTGCAGCATGGCAGGCTTGTCTCCGCCCATCTCGACGCCACGCTTAGCTGAAGGGGATTCCCAATCAGGAGCTCCTTATAGTCTCCCCCGACGTTTTCAGCACACTCCCGATCTCTGATTTGTCTTCGCCGTTATGGAAGTCCCTCAGTCTGGCTATCAACAGCCCGTCGGCATGTATCAACAATACCAAGCCGACTATGCTGCTCAAACTGCTCAATTCAACCCTATGAGCGCCAATACGCGACTCTGGGCTCAGAATCAACCTCAGCTCCCTTACAACCCAAACTCGGGCGCTTACATCAATTCTTGGCCTTCATCTTCTGCTAATTCGGCGCCTGCTCAATCCGGCGCGTCGCCACAGTACGATGGGCATCAGCCACAACCACCGAGCTTTGAACACTACTCTCAACACGTTCAGAACTTCGATACACCCCAAGTGCAGAGTACTGCTGGTCCTGCTCGTGTTCCTCGACGCCAAACAGCCCAAGAGAAAGTGGTTCAAGCCGACCCTACTCGCCAGTCTTCTGCCTCGAGGAGTGAGCGCTCACGGGGACAACGTGGCGTATGTCTCGAGAGTCTTCCGTCATCACTTATCTCTGGAACTGATATCTACTTCCTTATTCCTCTTTAGGAAAGCTCCGCGTCGGCTCACACAAGTCAACCACCGACCACCGCTACCTGTACTTCCAGCCAATCAGGCTCTACCTCTGCTCTAACTCTACCGGGCTCATCGTCGACTGATGCATCGCTCAATAATACTCCTGGACCGGCGGGCAATCTATCTTCTGCGCGGGACACCATTGCCGTCGATGCGACCAAGAAGAAGTCCCGCCTCACGAATCTCGATCGCCGCGACATCTGCATCTATCAGCGCGATACGCCAGGCGTGCGTCAGGAGGATATCGCTCAGAAATGGGGCGTCGAGCGCAGTACTATCAGCAAGGTTCTCAAGGAGAAGAATAAGTGGCTCTTCATCTCCGCCGAAGAGACGGTTGAGATCGCCAAAGCCAGGTCAGGACCTTCCGCGTTGTCTTGTATCCACCATCGATACTGAAAGTCACTATGCTTCCTACAGGCCACCCAAGTTTGAGCACATTGAGGAGAAGCTTCTGGAGTGGTGCTTGACCAAACACGACGCTGGCTCGGCTATCTTGGACAAGGAGATACGCGACAAAGCTCTCGAGCTCGCGCAGGGTAGTGCCTCCGCTACCAACAAGTTCAAGGCGTCGCACGGCTGGATCGACGCGTTCAAGCGGCGCTTTGGAATCCGCAAGGGCATCTTCCTCGGGGAGGGTACTTTACACGAGAAGAATCGCGCTTTGGGCAACGGAGTGGGCAACGTATCCATCATGGATATTGGGCCAACCATGATGGACAGCCTCTATCGGATGGGAGAGTATGATCCGAACGCGGCGGCGAGGGAGGTAGTGTATGACCTACCTATATGGAAGAAGTCCATACAGGAACTCACGGAGAAGCGCGGTGGGAGGCCATGGCACGAATTGACAGAGGAGGAGCAGCAGGCATCGCAAGCGGCTGGGGATAACGACATGTATCCACACTATCAGATGGCGGCAGAAGAGGCCAAGCTCGAAGACACGGCTCTCGAAGAGGCCAGAAACGAAACGTATGAACTGGAGGACGCCGCGCTCGCTGCGGGCGACGAGTCGTTCGATCGCAGGGCGACGTTCGACGAGATCATGCACGAGAAGTTGGCGGCAATTGACTATGAGTCTGTCGATGTGCCTGAGCTGGACGTTCCTCCCGTCCCTGGTCAGCACCCTGACGATATCGAGCCCACACCCGGTCCATCTGGCGAGCGAGCGCACGAGGCGATCTGGGAAGTCATCCGGTTTTGCATGCCTCGCCGTGGCCGCGTGTTCTCGAACGGGCACTGCGCGGTCCTACTCGAGATCTGGGCTCGGACCATGATTATCTACGAGCGTCAACGGCGCGCTGGTGCGCGTAGGCTTGCCTACGAGCAAGTCTATTTCAAGGACCGGAAAAACGACGTGAAGCACGCGGAGGAGATGATCGCGGAGAAGGAGAGGGACTTTGCGTTGAACCCCACGGGTGAACCCACCGGAAAGGATGTAGTGGCACGACAGACGCGGAAGGAGGATCTGGAAGCGCTGCTGCAGCTCAAAGAGGCGCATGATGAACTCATTAAGGATCCCGATCAGGCGACGTGGCTCAACCAAGTTCATGATGCGCAGAGGGAGGAGGATCCTAGCCTCGTACCTATAGCGCCTGTGGCGTCCACGTCTGCTCTCCCTCTCTCCCCGCCACCTACTGAGGCACAGCCAATCGCCTCTTCACCGACGTCCGGTTCTTCCTCGTCTTCGCCTGCAGGATCCTCCGGCGCCCTTCTCACCCCCCGGTCCGCACTTCAGGATGACGGCATCGAGATCTACACGCCCACATCGCTTCCGCCGGAGGGCCACTTCCTGCGTCGCATGTTGACCAGACCTGATTCTTCCCTTGTCAGCGTCCAGTGTCCAACCAAACCATTTTGTAATCCTGAAGACCTAAACTTCCCGCCCGAACTTCTCTATGGAGGCGGAGCACCGGGCTCGGTTGGAGCTCCCTTATGGGCCGAGTCGGGCACGGTGTGGACTGGAATGGGGCTATTTGGCGATTCCCCTCAGGATGAGCCGCCGGACGTCGACATGTCTAACGCGCCTCCATCCTGAATACCGCACGTCTATTCTCACACTGGTTTGCCTATACTGAATCTTGCTGTCTGCCAATCATGACTATCGCCTCTCTGCTATCCTCATGTTCATCATCCACGTTGTATCTGCTCATGTCACCTCCGCACTCTACACCTCACATTTCGTTCATGTACTATATCTTGCTCGGGATGCTCAAAGGATCTCTCTACACGTTTTTGCCATATCTCCTGGTCCGTACCCATACAAAGCTCCACATACGTTCGCCGATCTGCTATTGCTACAACCTATCGTGATACAATTACAAGGTTTATCATCGCTCCTTAACCTGATAAGATGCGTGTGTACATGAGGCTGCAGCATCTCGTTCCGTCGGCGGCGCAAAATCCCCCGCCATGCGGAACCTCTGCAGGATGATGATCCTCGCCTCTCAGACGGTGTTGGGCCGCCTTCGTTGCACGCTTGACACGCGGCGTCTGCAGTTCTTCCAGGAGTATATGTCCTTCTCGAGAGCGGGACAGACGATACACGATCTCCTTCGCCTGATAGCGGACTCCCCTCCATTATGCGGAGTGAAGACATTCCAGTGATGGAGTTCATTTCTTCTTCTTGGTAGCCGTAGACGACTCCCTGTGGGGGAATAGTCATTATATAGTATCATCGTGCATGCAAGTGCGAGGACGTACTGGGCATCGCCGATGTTCTTCATAATCGTGAGCGGACCGCTGCTCGCGGCGTTGACCATCTGCTGCTCGACTGAGCGGTTAATTTTGGCGCTCAGCTCCTACACGGTATCGTTTGTTCAGAGTTCCCTACACATAAATGGTGGTCAACGTACCTTGCGCATGGCAGCATGCTTTACCGCCTGCGCCTTTTTGGGCGCCACACTCCTCCTGCCCTTTTTCATGTTGGCGGCGGCCTTCTGGGCATGGCGCGAGTTGCCACCGCTCTTCTTCTGGAGTCCCTTCGTATTTCCCTGAACCATCGTAGTATTTGAACAGGTGCCTGGGGCAAAAGGAGAGTGATGGACGTCGAAATCAAAGCGCGCCTAGGGCGTCTCAAAATTCGACGCGAACGGTTGGCGCCGCGCGCGTGCGAAAAGTCACGCGTGTCCGTTCCGGAGCGACTCGGCGGCGTCGCGCTCAGCGTCGGACACAACGACCTCCTCCACATACCCTTTCTCTCTTTTATTCTGCACGCCATGCTCTCCGCTATGCGCGTGCAGCGCGTGGCCTTGCGCAATGGGAAGGTGTGTGCCTAAACATGGGAATAATAAATGCCAGAAGCTCATTATATCCCCGCATTTCTTTCGCCTTGCAGCGCGCGTACAGTGATATGATGACCGTAGCGGAGAAGCCCATCGTACGTCAGGGTATAGCCGGCCGTAGCTCCGTTAGTGGCTCGGTCGCGACTGTCTTTGGCTGCACTGGCTTCCTCGGCCGTTACCTCGTTCACAAGCTCGGTGTGTTCATCCCGTCCGCTATATTGGAGTATGTTCACTGATATATCACGTTTAGCCAAGGCTGGAACACAAGTCATCATTCCGTACCGCGACGAGGACGAAAAGCGCTTCTTGAAGGTCACTGGTGACCTTGGCCAGATCGTGTCCATGGTCCGTTTCCGTCTACCTCCATCCCAACCCGATATTTACACCTGATGTAGGAATGGGACCTCCGCTCTGACGACCAAATTGCCGAATGCGTGCGCCACTCCGACATTGTGTACAACCTCGTCGGACGGGACTATGAGACGAAGAACTTCACGTACGAGGACGTGCACGTTACCGGCCCGGCACGCATCGCGTCTATTGCGCGGGATGCGGGTGTACCGCGCTTCGTCCATGTCTCCCACTTGAACGCGGACGCAAACTCGAGCAGCGTCTTCTACCGCACAAAGGCGGAGGGAGAGCAGGCTGTCAAGGAGGCGTTCGGAGACGCTACCATCGTCAGGCCTGCACCCATGTTCGGTTACGAGGACAAGTTCTTACAGAACATTGCCAGTGAGGCCCTATTATCTCTCCTCTTGTACTTGTGCTAACGACTGCTCTTAGCGTGGCCGATCTGGTGGAAGCTGAATCACGGCCAAACGCGCACTCGCCCGGTGCACGTAATGGACGTCGCACAGGCTCTCAACGCTCTGCACTCCATGGGTCCCCTTCCGCAAACTCTCAACTTGCCGGGCCCAACAACGCACACTTACGCCTACCTCCTCGACCTCGTCTCCACCCTCACCTACAACCCACCATCCCGTGCACCAGTAGTGCCCAAGGCCCTCGCCCAGCTCGCAACCAAATACGCCGACAAGGCGCTCTGGTGGCCCATGCTCACGCCGGATGAGGTCGAGAGGCGATTCATTGACGATGTCGGTGCTGGGGAAGACGATGAGTTCGTCGGTGATTGGAACGTCGTGGGCGTGCAGCCGGATGAGATCGAGAAGCATGCGATTACTTACGTGAGGAGGTACCGCTCCGCGGTCAACTACACACGGCCGATTGTGTTGCCACCCAAGCCGGTAAGCTCTCTCGACTGTAGACTGCTTACAATCGGGCTGACGAAATTGTGCAGACGCCTGCGTAGATATGTTCTTTGTGCTAGCTCAATAGAACGTTGCATTATTCTCCCGCCTTCTAGCTCGCTTCGAGACCTTACCCCGTCCTCCGATGACATGAGATGCTGAGTTCACTTCTACGTGAAACTCGCTAGAGGTCATATGTCCGGACGCTCCTCCGCAAAGCCTGCTCTTTGTGCTGCTGAGCCCAGGGGCTCTGTAGTGGCAGGCACCCTCAGACTGAACCAACTTGCAGTCAATATGCACGTTGAACGCGATGGTGGCTGCGAACGCACCTTTCTGGTCGCGAAGACTACGAGGACGTCGGGCTGATGGTTATCAGTAACATATGGTCCGCAGCTCACAGTGCTAGGCTCATAGGCAGCACGTATCTATCCGAGCGCTCAGTAGAATGACACCCCAGCAATACACGCGCATACCATAGTCAAGTCCTTCAGGTTGACGATGAAGCCCGCCGCCACGATGCCATAGCTACACACCATCACAAGCTTTCTACACCCCCAGATAGCGATTCTGTGCGAGGGATTGCCGTTTAGGCTATACCCTTCTTGAGGCATAGAGTGTAGGGCAGAACTCACACTCGGACGGCGATCAACAGAGTGGCAGCAGCGATCGCGCAGTACGCGCATACCTAGACGTGAGCAACGTGACCTTGTCTTCATTGACGATTTCATAGGGTGTATATACAAAACACTTACCCTGATACCAATGAACAAGGCCTGTATAAGCATGGCAAGGGTGATGCAAGGCATACGAACACAGAGAATGACAGGGATCCTACCCTACAGTTATGGCTCTTGATGCATCCAAACTGTGTCATAACCATTACAGTCGCCCATGTCATATAGAAAAGTCGGCAGGTAAGGTACACCTATTAGCTGTCATCAATACACACGTGGGATTATGCATGACATCACGGACGTACCCAGATGGTCCAAAGGTATTTGCGTTTGCCTTTCCAGACACTCCACTCGTAATCGACGGTCAAGACGTACTCCCAGCTAGACCATTGACTGAACACTAGCGCGACAATCGTATCTCTAGTTCTAGTAGGCGCACCATAAAATGCCAAACACCATGGATGGAAGTGCAGAAAGGGGTGCTTCAGAGGATGAGAATATGAGCAGCCGTGAGATTCGATGACGGACGCTCGCCTTGCTGTGTATCACTCGCAGCGGTGTTTTCGTCAAGCATGCTTGCGAGGAGAGCGAAGGAAGATGAGAGACGGAGTTGGTACAAACCCACTACAGGGAGTGGAGGGGATGGAGTCTTTTGTCGGGTGTGCACTGGTACCGATACGTACTTATGGTCACAGCGCTTGATGATTTGAACAAGGAGTACATGTTCTTGCCCGTGATCGGCAAGCAGCATTGGTGTCTATGCTGAATGAGATCGGTGTCATAACAATGTCGGGCCACTTCATCTCGACCTGTACCCCTCCTGCGTCAAAGAGACTCCGTATTTGTGCCACAAAGAGCGCCCTGACGTCAGCCCGGACATAGACAGACGGGTTCTAGCAGAGCAGCGGGTTCTGACAGTCTCCATGACGTGAAATCTCGATTTGGGGATTGAAGCCCACTACGTGCAATACGCTGTGATCGCCTCTCATATGAGGAAGTATATCCCATAAGAATTGAAAGGTGGGGCGGGGACATGACGATATGGAGACTTGATGGATCGGAATGGATGACTGTTGCGGGGTGTGCGCCTCGATCACGGCCTCGGACTGAGACGATGAGGGTTTGGGACAACATTTTCGGAACACCAATGCGCGCGACGCGCCGATCCGCGGGACCATAAAATGGGCATGCTGAACTTACGACGATTCGCAGACTGCTCTTCGCATACATACTAGCTCCAATCTGTCCTGCTTCGTCACGTCTTGTGAGAAGTGGCACTACGCAAAAAGCTGGACGAGTTGGGGATTGAACCCAAGACCTCATGCAGTCGAATGGCCCAGTGCTTTCGCGCCTGGGGCCCGTGCGAAGCAAGCGCGCTACCACTGTGCTACACGCCCATACTTTGAGTATGTTACGTTAATTATATATTTACACAGTAAGCGGGCTGGCTACCTGGCGGAGATGCGCCGAAGTCTTCCGGGCATGCTGGCTTTGTCGACAATCGAGTCGACGACGGCCTGGCCACCGGCGACAGCGGCCGGCGCAGCTGTCCTGACCTTTCGACCGACGATCCTTTCGATGAGCAAGGGAGCAGACGTAGGCAAACCGGTCCAGTACGATAGCAAAAGAGAAACACATCATTATTCTGAATGCTACATACGCAGGAAGAGGAGAGCACGCTATGCTAGGTACGGCATATGCAGCCCCAGAGCCAAGGGACGACCGGGATGGGGACCGGGCCGGCGATGCCGCGGGGGCAATGCTCCCATCAAAATCGGAGAATGCCGTGGATGCAACGAATCCGCGGCAGACGCCGGCGACGTCGTTAAAACTCGTTTACCTGTCGCCTGGCATGCAAGTAACTTAGTATAGTTGGAGCCTGCACTTCGCATAGGCGTCGTTGAAGAAAGGGAGCGATCGCTTGCAGGAGCGCTGTGAGTTGGATAATACGCGCTAGCGGTCAGGAATGGAAGCCTGTCGATGCGGACGCCGGTCAATGAAAGCTTTGAGCAATGCACTGGAGAAGAGCGTACGAGAGCGCTCCGCAACGAGCGATGGAACGGCACTGCAAGTGGCGATGCGCCAATCGAAGGTCCATGAGAGACATTGCGATTGCCCATGCGGGTCACAGGTGGCGGTTGGGGAAGAAGCGCAAGCGCGCGTCGCTTCACGCGCCGAGCTCAACGTTTTCTCTCACCAGTCGCACCGCTCGCGGATTCACCATCTCCAGTCGCCCTTACCGCTACCCCCGGGTCGAGACGAAACACACTTCCCCTGTGCCATACGCCTATAGTCCAGGGGGAGTGTATTGGCACACTGACTTGATCAGCATCAGCACGCGACAGTATGAAGCCCCGAGAATATGATTGACATTGATACCATTCTTAATCATCCCGGGAGCCTCTAGAAATGTCCACAATGTGTCAATCTGCAAAACAGGAACGTCTATGTCTAAGTACAACAACTGAAAGGCCCAAATAACCCAGTATTATGATACTTTCTTTTGGCGCCGCGCCCTACACAAGTCCCTCAAGCCCTCCTCCTGACTTCCCTCGACCATGCCGCGAGCGAGAGCGCAGCAGTACCAGCCAGGCATGCACCCGTGAATACGATGATGTGGTTGAAGCGCCCGTTCGCGACTTCGAACCCTGTGGCCCGCGTGACGAGAAAAGCGCGTGCACTCAGTTTGACGGCGCTTCGCGTCAGGAGCGCGTTTGAAATGGGCGTCGACAGGACGTTGCCAAGGCCGCGGGAAAACATGAGTACGCCATAGAGCGTCATGAACAGGCTCCTATCATCCTCTGTAGGGCAGTCAGATGCCGCATAGACAACCGCGAGAAAGATCGGCTTACTCGATACGGGGCGGATGAACCCAGTCCAGAGCGACGACCAGCCACCGATCAAGATGCCGAAGAGGGCGCCAAAAGCCAAGATGCCGGATAGGCTGCTACCGGCCACGCCCCATAGTGTGAACGTGATGATGGCAGTGCCAGATGCAGAGACGCTCGCTAGTAGCAGAGGCGAGATGTAGTCGGACAATGTGCCGTACATCAGACGGCTCACAAGAGACATCCCTGATCAGAGGTTAGCATCAGAGAAGAGTACGAAGCTGGGAAATGCGTACCGTTCAGCAGCGCCAGCGACAGAGAAGCACCGGACGCTGAGACGCCCACGATCTCCGAGGCATATGCTAGGTGAGTCATCAGCCGGGTGCCAACGGGCGCGAACGAGCCGTCACTCACTCGGAAGATAGATGAGCGGGATGGTCCAAGCGAAACCTTGCACAGTGTTGAAGGTGACGACGAGCCACCAGTACGAGTTCCTAAGCCATGACTTGTTCGTGGCGTTCCTGACAGGCGCTACAGGCACTCCGCGCTCGGGGATGCGGGGTTTGAGGAACGGAAGGCAGACAACGGTTCCGGCGAGGAAAGCGTAGGAGATGTAACGAAGCGAAAGGGCGATTCCATGTGCGCGGATGATGCTCTGCAGTATGCGTACATCAGCAGCCATTCGTTAGGATGAATGTACTTCATGAGCTTACGGGAAGAACGAGGGGCAGAATGATACCACCGGCCGAAGCGCCTGAAAGACAAGTCTTCAGTATCGCGGTATCAATCGAGGGTTATGCGCATACCTGCATCAAGCACACCATTCGCCAGTCCTCGGCGCATCACGAACCACTCCGGCATATAAGTCATCGACGCCGGCCAGAGCAAAGCTAGACAAGAGGAGGTCCATCTCACGGGAAGACATCAGAAAGGATAGAACACATACAACCGCCGATTGAGTACAGAACACCTTGCAAGAGTAAGAGTTGCGTGACCTATCGCACATCAGACTCGATGAAGACTGTGAGCTTATGGAGAAACGTACAGTCGTGGCATAACTGGCGCCGAAGAGACTGGCCCAGCATATGAGGGTGCCGAGCCACATGGCCTTTTGGCGATGGAAGCCATAGCGCGTTGCAAGCGGGTACGTGAGTGGACCTACACAGATAACTTACATGAGCATATGCACAGCATATCAGTTGCAAAACGAACGCGTACTTGAGAAGTACATGATGGCGGACGATAGCGTCCCGACTAATGGCAGTAAAGACGTCGCATGCGGCTGCGAACCAAACCTCGCGTCGCGCAAGTATGCCTCCAAAAAAGACCCGAAGGCTACCGGAAAGCCCCATACGAAGAGTTCGATGAGGAAAGCACTGGTGAGCTGCGGATACAATACGGGTGTTGGTGAGCCCTATCGCGCAATCTTCACCGGGGATGGTTGACAAAAACGTACGTAGGACCATGCTCCGAATCCGCCGTCGACTGGAGCAAGAGATGAAAACTGCGCGGCGTCGGGGTTTAGCTCTACTTGCGAAGCAGTGTCCGTTGCTGTTGCGGGTGTTGGTGGGATGTAGTTTTCGCCGCGTTCTGCGAGGGAGTCGGCGGGAGGTGTTGCGCAGCCTAGAGCGGCGAGATCGTAGTGCAATGTCGGAAGCTCGATGGAGTCCGGTACAGGCTTGACCTTTTCAAGTGAAGTAGACATGGCGAAGAAGGATGAGCTATTGATAGGAGGGTGCAGTCAGTTTTTATAGTCAAGCCAGACGGCCGCAATCCAAGCGAGTAGGCAGAACGGCGCGAGCTCCCGCCGAACATCTCCGTAAACGTACCACCAGTGAGCAGCTCTTGCGAAGATCTGCAGGGTAGCGCGGGAGGAGAGCGGTGAGAAGGCCGCAGTCGAGCCAATCGAGACCTCACGACGTCCGTCCCGTGCATCGATAAACTGGTCATTGTACGTCAAGCGACACTCTCGGATCTCAGGCAGACTTTGCAGAGCTGTAAGCGAAGGGTCTGCTGGGCGCGGTCCGGACACACAACATGCAGAGGATGTGGTCAATCGGTATCCGTGTGCGGATGCCCGACAACGGGCGCGCTGGTAACATGATCCATATGCTCTACGGCTTGTCGTGCCGATCGCAGTCTGGACCACCATCAAGTGTTTGCCTTTGGCGTTCTCGTTAGCGGATGAACTCAAACCTTGTAATTAACCGGAGCGGACGCACGTTGTGGGCTTCAGCAGCCGGCCGTAGCCAGATCTTTGGACCAACATCACTCGTTCGCCCTCGGCGTTGCAATATACACAGACACACAAGCATGGGTCTCGTAGTCATACACACGTTAGGTCCATGGTCGGGCCCCACTACAGCCCGTTTTTCTAGACGGTCCTTCTGTATCGATGCTAATTGTGGCTATTTGCCAAACATCTGCGCAGAACGTGATCAGTAAACGAACTCTCCCTGCGCAGAGACAAACACACGTTCTATACAGAGTCGAACACTCTACTGCTCGGCCAACCTTCGCTTCACAATCATCTCCCTTCCCAACCCCACAGCTGCGATGACCGCAGCGGCGGCAAAGCACGTCCCGACATAGACAATCATATCTTTATACTTTCCGCCGGCGACCGCGAAACCCGTATGGACCGCCGCAGTCGCGTTGATGCCCGATCCAGATGAGAGGGCTGTAGCGAGAGGCGTGGAGAGCACGTTGCCCAGACCGCGCGTGCACATGAGGATGCCCATCAGCGTCATGTATAGGTTCCTGTCTTCCTCTAGAAGATCAAGTTAGTGAGTGATCTTGCTGGAGGGGAGTAGTCGACCAGTACGTACTGACTACGGGTCTCAAGAACCCTGTCCAAAGCGAAGTCCATCCACCCGCCACGATTCCAAACGACAATCCAAAGACGAGTAGCCCTGCGAGCGCGTGGCCGATGACGCCCCAGAATATGAATGTAGCGAGCGATGCCGTGCTCAACGTGATAGCGGCTAGCAGCCATGGGGCGAAATAGTCTGATAACGTGCCAAGGGCGAGACGGCTGAGCAGAGATGCACCGTTGAGGATGGCGACGGTAAGAGAGGCCTTTGAAGCGGAGATGTTGAGGGCAGAAGCGTAGGTGGGGAGCCAGACGCCTGGCAAGAAGTATGCGAAGCCTGTTTTTGGCTTGTCAGCGCCCGGTCTGCGTATCCAGACCACGGACGAACCTTGTACGGTATTAGCAACGACGACGAGCCAGAACTGTCCGCTCGTCATCCACGACTTGTCCGTACTCGCACGCGGCCCAGGTCCACGAAGTGCGGCGCGACGCTCAGGCAAGCGGGGCTTTATCATGGCCAACGTAGGTATCATCGTCGCGAGGAAGCCGTATGAGATGTAACGCAGAGTGAGCGCGGTGCCGTGCGCTTCTATGACTTGCGGGAGGAAGAGCGGGAAGATGAGACCACCAGCGGCCGTTCCGGCATCGATCACGCCGCTCGCGAGGCCGCGACGGCGGGCGAACCATTCGGCCATGTAGGACATGGCTGGTGCGTAGAGGATTGACGCGCCCAGGGCGTAGAGTACACCTTGGAAGAACACCAACTCGGACACCTATTGATTATGTCAGTGGGGGTTAAGAGGAAGTAGCATAAAGTACGCATAACTTTTTGGCGAAGCTGGCTCCGAATAAGGCAGCCCAGCAGACAACTACCCCAATCCACATGGCGTGCCGCCTGTAGTATGGGTACCGCGTCGAGAGCGGATACGTCAATGCACCTATACTCAGGTTCAGCATTCTGGAACATTCACGAGAGCTAGTTAGTACAGACCTGTGCAGAAGATGATGCCGGAAGATAGAGTGCCGGCGAGAGGTAGCAAAGACATCGCATGCGGCTGGTTGACTAGAGATGTGTCTCGGAGGTACGCCTCGAGGAAGACACCGAAGGCGTTGGGGAAGCCCCAGATGGCCAACTCAACTACGAATGCGGCTATCAACTATTGGACAGGGTCAGCACCGCGCTCGGAATAATACATGTCGGAAGACTCACGAAAGACCAAGCGCGCCAGCCGCCGTCGACGGGCGCTAGCGAGGACTCGTTGAGCTGGGCAGTATCATCGTCTTCAACGGCAACATCTGGGTTGGAGGCATTCCGGCTAGTCGAACCAGATGCGAGTGGGTAGACATCCACAGTAGCTTTACTGTCTACTCTGGCGAGCTCATGCGAAGCCCGCGTACGGGGCAGCTCGGCGAGCGCGATCGACTCGACGTCCTCAGGCGAAGGCATGATGATGGCGGAGAACCGTCAACCATCCTTCGAGCATCATCTACCGGAGGTATATACCGAGCCATCAGACGGTTTGTACGGTATATTGGAGTCATAGATTGCGGTGCGTCAAGAGCATGGTGGCGGTCTTCCACCGCGGAATCGCGCAAGCCTTGCCGCGGCGCGTCAACATGATGTTCAGTCGGCACGCCGGCCCGCAAGTCCGATCAGCGCTTTTTGCCACAACGCGTTCAGGCGCGCGTCTTGAGCTTGTTTTCAACTCTCGCGTCCAGTCTTGTTTCTATAACTCGCGTCGATATGGTGCGCAGACGCTCTACGAAGCCGAAAGGCAAGTCTGCACCGCGGCCTGTGGACCGGAAGGACTCGAAGATGAAGAGGTGGGAGACTGCCGATGACATCCCTATGGACGATGAAGACCAATGTGTGTACTGTTTATAACTCCCTACTGTGTTTAAACTGAACGCGTCACTCACACAGTTCACGCGTCGAAGGACCAGATATTGCTCGACGGCGCAGACTTGGGCGATGACGACGACGAGGGAGATGTGGACGAGGTCTTTGCGTTGAAGGGCATGCCGTCCGACTCGGACGACGACGAAGAAGGCGGAGACGAGGAGGATGTGGACATGGACGAAGACGAGCCGGCACCAGCACCGAAAAAGGAGAAGAAAAAGGCGAAAGGCAAGGCAGTCGTACCGCCTGATTCGGACGAGGAAAAGGCTGGGGAGAGCGAGGAGGAAGAGTCGTGGGGCGCGAAGAAGTCTGCGTATTATTCGAGCAACGCGCAAGAGATGGACTCGGACGACGAAGAGGCGAACGAGTTGGAGGAGCAGGAGGCTAGGAGGCTGCAGTCCAAAGCGCGGGAAACTTTGGACGACGACGACTTTGGGCTGGGAGATGTCGTCGAGGTGGTGGTCGAGGAGGATGCCGAGGATTTATTGGAAGAACCCGAGCCTGTCGCCGCGGATCTGTCACAGGATAAGCTGTCGCTGCTCAGACATCTGGCGAAAGACTCACCCGAGACGCTCGCTCTCGCCAACGACTGGGAGGATACTGCCGCTCGCGTGGTCCGTGCGCAGGAGAAGCTTCAGAAGTGTGTACATTCAATCTGCTCATTTACCATGTCACTTATATAATACAGATTGGAAGCCGAGCAACCAAACGCTATGTCCCTCGGCATGGTACACCTACACTACCAAACACTCGTAACCTACGCCACCAACCTTGCATTCTACCTCCACCTCTGCGCCTCCCCCAAATACGCCTCACATCCCTCTGACCTGCGCAAGCACCCCGTCTTTACGCGTCTACTCCAGCTCAAAGAAGCATTGTCCACGCTCGAGGAGCTTGACTTTGACGCTTCCGAAGGCGAAGAGGACGAAGAGGACGACGAAGATCTGGACTCAGACTTTGAGGGACTGGACGATGAGGAGTTGGAAGATCTCGACGACGACGAGTATCTTGAGTATGCGAAGCAAATGCTGTCGCGCAAGAAAGGGTCGTCAGGATCGAAAGTCGAGCTGGACGACCTCGAAGCACTCCTTCGTGACGCCGAACGCGACCTCCCAACGTCTGACTCTGAGCTCTCCGCCGATGATGCTCCACCACCACCTCCGAAGAAGCAGAAGAAGCGTAAAGAGAGCGGTGCAGAAGAGCCGGCAAAGAAGAAGCGCAAGACGACCGCGACGAGTGCGGCGCCCGTCTTCGACCTCGAAGAGCCGGAGTTCGTGCCTTCTTCCAAGAAGCGTGCTTCGACATCCGCCGCCGCAGACCCAACGGACGTTTACGGCGATGCTCTCACCTTGACCTCCACCGATGCAGCCGACAAACAAGCCCGTCGCAAGACGCTCAGGTTCCATGCCTCCAAGATCGAGAGCGCTGCTGCTAGAAGAGCAGGCGCGAGGCAAGCGTTGGGAGGCGACGATGATATCCCATACAAGGAGCGCAGGAGAGAGGCGGAGAAGAGGAAGGAGCGAGAGGCAAGGGAAAGGGGCGCTGTGGGTGGAGACGATTTGGATGACGAGGAACCTGCATCCGCGCCGAGTAGGAGTAGAGGAGACGGCGACGAAGGAGAGGATGATGAGGGCGATGATGGATACTACTCGCTCATCAAGAAGCAGAAGAAGGAGAAGAAAGAGGCGAAGAAGGCTGAACATGATGCCGCAGTTGCAGCCGCTCGGTGCGTATCTTGTTTATCACTAGTTCCCATAGCATATGGACTGACTTTCGCTGCTTCAACAGTGAGGCGCTCATGGAAGACACCGACTCAGCCGACGGCCCGCGCGGCCTTACCCGTGCCATCCTCAAGAACCGCGGCCTCACACCGCACAGGAGCAAGAGCGTGCGCAACCCGCGTGTCAAGAAGCGGCAGAGGTACGACCAGGCCAAGAAGAAGTTGGCCAGTCAGCGCGCGGTGTACAAGGAGGGTCCGAGGGACGTCACGAGGTACGAGGGAGAGAAGAGTGGTATCAGTAAGGTCGTTAAGAGTGTCAAGTTCAACTGAGCTTGGGGTGAGGGAGGTCTTGTTTGTTTTGCCTGCATACATCCTATCATTTTGCTATCATTTTTGCCGTACAGCTTTGCCCTCCATACATTGATGGGCATGTCGACTCGTGTCAGGACAGGACCAAGCTTGTCAATGCCGTAGTGGTAGGCCTTAAAGCGCGTGCTTCATTTCATCTTGCGTTGGTCAACCAGTATCCCTCAGAAAACTGGGCGTACGTGGAAAAGACAGAAAATAGTGGCGCCAGAACACGGTCACGCCCCCTCGGTTGAACCCGAAGAAGCTCGAAACGCGCTAAGCAGTTTGATCGGCGCGCGAGCGCGCTCTCACCGGACCCACCGCGATGTGTGGTGCTCGTCTATTCTTGTTCTCGACCGTCATACCCTAATAACTGGATCATATACCACTAGCTACTCCATTTGCTTGCTTTGCACTCGTTTTGCTGTCTCTATCAACTTCGCCATCATGTCTGCGCCACAGCTAGGCGCTAAGCGCTCGTTCACTGGTCATCATGACTTGTTGCCTGCTACGAGCGAGCGGCGCGGGACTATCTCGTTTTATATGGCGCCGAATACCCTTCTGAGTTGGACGTTTGGACGTGGCACTGTGGTGCGTACTTCTGCACTGCATGGTGGTAAGAAGCTGAAGCGAATCGCCAGATCTGGCGCATATGGCCGGGTGAGTCGCGTGGAGAGCACCTCGGAGCCCTGCGCTAACACGGATGCAGCTGTGCTCTTTCATACTCTGTTTGCCGTGGCGGTCACCATCGTGTCTATGCGGTCGAACCTATACCTAGGCATTCCCAATGTCATGCTTACCGTGCTCGGTACATTGAACCACAACCTGGAATGGTCGCATCAACTCATTCAACGAACTCTACAGGTGTTGTGATTGGTTTCGTAATATCTTACCGCGCGTCAAGCGGGTAAGCGCTTCTCTTGCTCATGTCATGGACCGTGTGCTGACATCCTGCCAGCTACGACCGCTACTGGACAGGCAGAACAGCCTGGTCCGACGTCATTCGCAATACACGCACACTATCTCGACTCATATGGTTCCATATACCCTTACGCCTGGTTCCAAAGACCTCGCCGACGGACTCAGAACCTCGTCCAATGCAGGAGGTTCACCAGGTCATGAAGGAGAAGCGTAAGGCCATCGACGTACTGGAAGGGTAAGCTCGTGTGAGCATTCAGCCTATATTGGTTCTGATCCGTCGCAGGTATGCCGTGGCTCTCAAGCATCACCTACGGAGTAGGTGATAGTTATTGCCTGCTGCCATATTTTTCTGACACCCCACAGACGAAGGAGGCATCTATTATGAGGATTTATACCGGCTATCCCGACCTTTTCACCAGGTACGCTGTGCCCTCCAGCTTTACCACGCCTGTACGCTCATGGTACCCACACAGCACGAACATCGCGAAGAGTCGCGCCACGCCAAGCAGGCGCAGAAAGTCGCCTCGAGCCCGTTGGCCACAACATCCGCGCACAACCTCAGCGCCCCTCATGATCCCTTCGTCCCAACTATAAACTCCTACGGCTCAACGAACACATTCGGCCGAGGGCGCCCAATTCTACGCAACTTCTCTCGCTCCTCTTCTGACTCTTCCGACTCCGCCAATGACCAGACACCGCTCATGCCTTCGAACCGCGCAGACTCGAACGGCATCTTCAACAAAGTTGCCGCCGACCTCATCCCCTTTGCGCACTTCTTCAGCAAATTGTCTCCCTCCAATATCAAGAAACTCTTCTCGAGGGACGAGGACGAGCCTTTCGAGAATGAAGGTGGCGTTCAGAGGAGATGGGCGCTTGGACGGGGGATGAGTATCAAGCATCGGCCAAGGGTGGCATGTGAGGGGGAGAACTTGCCGTTGGAGATTGTCCATTACTTGAGCTGCTGGTTCAGTGAGCTTGAGGATCGCGGGACCGTTCCGGGGACGAGTCTTGGTCCCATGATCGGTACACTCGCGGGGTTGGAGGACAGCATCTCCAGTGAGCCGTTCGCGCCTCGCCTCGACATATTGCTGATGCTCGCTCTCACAGCTTTGGAAAGAATCTTGACAACACCTTTACCCTTGTGAGTATGCTCCACTTGCACCCAGCGCCTCATGCGCTGAAGCGAACAACAGTGTCTTCGCGGTACAAATCCGACACACGGTCTGGATCTTCCTCTTCTTCCTCCCCTTCCAACTCGTCGACCTCTTCCAATGGTACACAATCCCAGGCGTCGCCATCGCATCCTTCATATATCTCGGCTTTCTCGCTGCCGGAGAAGAGATCGAACAGCCCTTCGGTAAGCCCATCGCTCCATGTCTATCTTGGTTGTAACGGGTTCTGACTGCTGGCCAGGTTACGATGAGAATGATCTGGATCTGGATATGTTCTGCCAGGAGATCATTCATGTCGATATCGAGCGGCTCAAGCGAACGCCCGGCCCGAATGTCTTCCTCGGTTCACATCATGGCGAGGAGCATGTCGCAGACCCGGGCAACTCGGGCGGAAAGCAGCCAGAAGCGACGGCACACTAAGAGCTTCATCCGCGCGTCATCGCACCTGTAATTGCCATATCTATCCCATAAACATCGGCTGAATTGCAAATTCACGGCGCGAGGGATTCGGACGAGAGGTATCTCGCTTTTGAGTGCAGTGGTATTGAGTGGTAGGTACAGTACAGAAGCGTGAAAAGGTCCAGGTCTACTGAAACAAAGAGCGACAAGTCGTACACGAGGTATAGGTATATGGCGACAAACGATACAGGCGCGAAAGTACAGCAGATGCAAGTGATAACAGGGTGCAGGTGCAACAATCCGGTCAAGAAGGACGAGCGAGTGAGTGGAAAATGCGGGGAAAGTGCGAAGCGTGAGCTCCGAGCTCAGTAGGGCGTGCCGTACATGCCCGGGTTGTCGATAGGCGACTGCAGCTCGTGCGCCGCGACGTGCATCGCGTGCGTGTTCAGAGCGAGCGGATGAGGCGTAACCGGCGTTGTCGGACTGTGCATCTCCTGCGGATGCATCTGCCGATGGTTATGAGGGTGCAAATCGTGCGGCGACTGAGGCACGCCGACGGCGTGTGGATGCTGGTGCATCTGGGTGTGGATGGGTTGCAAAGGCGACGATGTCACTGATTGAGAGCCGTTCGGGCTGACGCCGTGCAGAATGGTCCCGGGTGGACTGAGTGGGTCGGCCGATGGGCGCTGAGGCTGTTGGTGATAGTGGGCGATGCAGCCGGCCATATGCTTGAACTGGTCGTCGCCTCGCGAAGCACACGCATACGTGCGTTCAAGATCCCGCGCCTGTTCTCCGGCTTCGCAATACGAGTACGCGTACTGATCTAATCCAGCCACGCAGTTTTCAACCTCGATACGCCCGAAGCGCGCGAGGAGCGAACCGGCGTTGATGCACGATATGTGCATAATTGCCGGGTCAAGGCGCTGCGTGGCAACCGATCATCAGTCCCGTGGATATGATGAGGGTCCGAAAGAAAGATGAAAGGTACGTACAAGGTAGCCGTTCTTGGTTAGTACGCCGGCCAAACCAGCGATGCGGAGGGCGCCGTGCAGTCCCTCGTCGAGGATCGTCCGCATAACCTCTTCTGCCCTCAGCTGCATTTGATACGACGCCTGATCTTGAGGGGACCCCATACGATGGTGCATGATGAGTTCGCGCACGCCGAAATCGTCCACGGCGTTGAACAGTATAACCCACATTACGTGGAACGTGGAGTCGGAGGCGCCTGCAGAGCGGTAAGCATTGCATACGAAGGGGCCGATGCGAGAAAGACAAGACCTACAGGCAGAGACGGCCGAAACGAAGTCCCACTCGGGCGCGAAGTTTGTTGGAACGCCGACTTGCGAGAGGTAAGAGGTACGCCAGTTTTGGAGTTGGCCGATTATGTCCGCAAGTACGTCGATAGAGATGCCTTGGGCTTCTGCTGCCGGCGTCCACAGGTGCTGAGACATTTTCCTCGCCACACGGGCAAGTGCGTGCGCAGCACTGTAGTATCCCTGATCACATTCAACGTCAGAGCGTGGGTCTCTTGGCTGTGGGAATCTGCGCACCAGTATCTAGATAGAGAGCACAGGTCAGAAAGTTGCGTCGGAGGAATGAGCCGTATATCGCACCTCCAGATGCTCTCGAGGCCCTTGATTGGCGCGGGTAGCATCGTCAGAGAGGGGCTCAGCGGTATAAAAATCGACGTCGTAGTCGTCATCCTTGATGATCGGCATGCGCCGGTGATATGTAGACGCATAAGAATCGCATAGGCACGCGAACCACCATGCGAATACGAGCATCCCACGCTCCTCCCGATCTGGAATGCTCAGGAGTACAGACTTATGGTTAATCTGTACAAGGCATGAATGGGACGAGCTCGTGCTAGCAAATGTATGGCGTACCTTGAGTGAAAACAGATGCCGGATAGCCGAAGCCAACCAGAATCCGCGCCAGCCTATTTGCCGTGAGCCAAAACCCAAGTCGAGCGACAGATCAATCTCACCGTCTCCTTCAAGCTTTTCTGTTGGAATTCTGTGAGCACGGGAAACTTCGTGAAGTTCTGCATATCACGTACGACTTTGAAGGGATTCGGTCATGAGGGTGATAACCACATGTTCGACTTTGGGTATTCGATGCACCTTGAATCCCTCGGAGATCTCTCTTGCTCGGTTGATGAGAGTGCGGGCAAGTCCGCTCTGCTTACTAGGACCCGAGGCGTTCCTGTCTGCGACCAGCAGCGGGTGTTCACTGAACTTTGCGCCCCATGCAATGACGACGGCGATCAGGGCAGGATGCGACTCTAGAGGATGAGTCGTCGCTTTACTATACGTGGCGGCGTGGAAAGCTGCTGCGGGTGTGGCACCTGCGTATTGCCCTGACGCGCCGTGGTAGGCCGAAGACGGCGGAAACGGTGCCGTGGAAGTCGAAGCATAGGACGAGGCGCCAAACTGCGACTGCCCTGGTGGCGCTGTTGACTGAGCCCCCGTGAAGGCGGTGTTCGGCGTAGTTGAGGCGGTTGGCATCTGCGATTGTAGGCGCTCGCGGAACTGTGTTGGGTTGAGAAAAGGGAGCCGCGCGTGTACAATCTGAAAGAAGACTTCGACTAGATCAAGTGCGAATCTATGGGCCGGCGTCATTTAAGGCCCGGGTACAGAAAGAGATCAAATGACTGTTAGACTCACTCGAATCGATAGCTTTCCTCTTCGAGATTGTGAGCAAGTTCTCCCCAAAAACGCCATGGGTACTGCGGGCTGTTGGCAGATATTGTTGAGCGATCAACTCTGGCGAGAGACATGACCCGATGTTATCAGGGCGGATAACACGCCGGCCGAATCGTGCCATAAAGTCTGTACTCACTTCCCATCTTCTGGAGGGGCAAAGAGATACGCCAGAATCTCTCCAAAAGGCGAATCGCGGCGAAGTGGAGGGCTAAAAGTGCGTGGCGGTTCATACCGAAGCGCAGATTGCGGTTGCGGTGAACCTTCTGTAACTTGCGCTGCATACGTCCTGGGAAGTGATAAATGCAATGAGCGCATGTAGCGCCGTGCGAGACGAACTATGCACGCACGCGTTAGACTGGGACGGCTGTGTGGTGGGGAACTTGAGTTCAATGTTCTGGCCGTCCTTGGAAGAACCCTCGCCACCACTGCCAGAGGCCTGTCTGACCGGTTCCTGTCAGACAACACGTAGTAGATAGTAGTGCACTTGGATGCACCCACCTCCCGTTACTAGTAGTGGCTCGAGGACGCTTGCTGGAGGACGTCATGCGTTTCCTTTCCGTAGTTGCTTGTTGGGCATGATGTCTGACCACCGACGTCAGTGAGGGGACAAACGCGAACGCGTATAACGGGTTGGGCGTACGTGCAGGGGTAGTTCTTCGCTAAACAGTGCTGAAGTCGTGTCAGTATGACATAGGTTCAATTCAGTTCGGAAATTGCTCACCTGGCACTAATCTCCGCGATGACAAAGGTCGGCGTCTCGCCGACGCATGTATGGAAAGCATAAACGCGCACCTTGGTTTGGCCGGGCACCTGGTGACACTTCACCTTGCGCTGCCTACAGAAGTCGCGTGAGTCGAGCGCCGCAGTGCATACCTAAGCGCGACGGACCTGCAAGCATCGCAGGCGATATTCTGCTTACGGGTCGGAGGGAGTTTGGACAGGTCTGCGACCTGGTCCTGCATGGTGGCATCCTGGAGAGGCACTTCGGCGCGATCGGCCATGAGAGTCAAGAGCAAGGTGCTTGTGGGAATGGAATGCGCGGCGAAGCGACGGCAGAGCGTGCAGCGTACGCGCGGTGTGTACCCGAGGCCCGCTCGAGCTGGAGTGGATGATATATAATGTGCTGAGCGCAGGAGCCATGTTATCCGGTTCGGCCAATACAACCGAGTGATCGAGATCTCTCTCGGTACCGCACGCTAATGAGCGCGGTACCGACGACTCAGCAACCCCTAACCGCCGTGCCCGATCGCCCCTGGATCACTGCAGCACGCTTTCGCGCGCCGATAGCTACGTACCGTACCTATTGTCTTTTGGCGGTGAACGCAAGCGTCAAAGACACGACCTGGATCCTACACTGGAATAATCGTTCTTACGGCCTGGCCGGCCACCCGCCTGCTTGCCCTGAACCCAAACAGGGAGCCCAACTGTCGGGTCAAGCACACGCGATACCCACGTGGAGGGTCGTTCGCACGCAGAACATGTCCAGCGCGACGCGTTTGCTCGTCATCGCTCCTCTCACCGCCAGCACGCCAACACTTCACGATGGTTCGCTGTCCCTTCCGAATATATTTGAAAAGCTGCTAATATTAGTGACAGGTCAAGGTTGAAATTGTTCAAGAGCAGGACGACGTCAAGCGCGCCTCGCCGTACTCCTCCCCGACGTCCTCCGCCGCGTCCTCCTCCGTCTCCGTGGACTCGGTCGACTCGGATGTTCCCGAGAACGAGACGTTCGCTGAGCGTCTCGCTGCGTTGAAGGACATTGTACCGCCAACAACCCGCCACAACATCGCCAACAAGCTTTCCGCGTCTGGCAGCTTTTTGAAGCGGTCCAGCAAGGTCGTTGGCAACATCGTCTGGGTTCTCACCACCTCCGCACTACTCGTCGGCCTACCAATGGCTCTCAGTCTCGAGGGCGAGGCGGCGGTCATTGAGCAGGAGAAGGCGATGTTGGCACAGGGCGGTCAACAGGTGTGTCAGATAATATACTATTGCGTATCACAAGCTCACATGCTTGCAGATGATGCCTGGCGGTGGCTTGTACCCGCCACAATCCGGCGGCCTTCCGCCTGCACAGGGCGGACAGGGCGGTCTTGTACCTCCTGGATTCTGAACACAAGACACTTGATGTCATTACGCCCACTGAGTTGCTGTCTTCTGCTGTATCCTATGTCTACGTTCCACGTCGCTTCTAATCATCACCACTTGCATACCGAATTCAATATGATCAAATCTCTCAAGCCATCATTATCGGCGCGTCTGATCTCAACGTCACGCCCCGCTCCGGTAAGCAAGGACCTGTGGCTGGAAACAATAAACATAACGGTACAAAAGTCTCAGTCTCGCAGCGTTGTCGGTTGTTACCCGCACACGTATCATCGTGATCATGGTGTTCCGGTGCAGACGATGGCTTCGCAGCGCATGAGCACAATGATCATGGCAATACCTTTCGCGGGGGGTGCGTTTTTCCGACATAGAAGGACGGGAGTCGCCATAGGTATATCCCGGCCTACGGCTGTTACTGTTGGTGTGGCTGATTGCCTTGCCCGCCTCGCAAAGCGGAGTGGTCAAGATTCGTTGTACGGTCAGGTTCCGTCTCTCAATCATTTGTACGATCCAGCTAAACCTTGTGTCTTGTATACAGTGTACATTGTGACCAGTGTGCGACACATACACGTCCTTGCTGATGCTACGGGCTGTCAACTCCCTTGCCTCTCAGATTTTGTGTTATCTCGTCGGTGTAGGATCCGGCATGATCGCTCTTCGCGTGTAAGTCAGAGTTCCCCGCGAGCTCTTGCAACCACGGCTACGTCGTAACTTCATTCCGTCTTGTAGCACTGCCCAATGGGGACACGCAAAACTTGCGTATCTGCTCTCTTATGGCTCCGTCGCTGCCTGCTTCGCAGTTAACATGAGGAGCATCACGTTTGTGGGTCCCGTATGCCTCACGGACGAACACTCTGACATCTTCACCAGATTCACGCGACATATGACCCTCTGACGAGAGCGTGCATTGCAGATAGCTTCCATACGCACTTACCGTGCACGATCGCAGTCCTGACGACGGACGTGATTCTCATGAGTGTATGATGCTTGGAGGCTTGCTTCGTATGTGGGAGATGAGAAGCACAGGTCTAGTAAAGTTCTTGTACCATCAAGTAATGTCGAATCAATCACGCCTTCTCAGTCGTTAACACGAGCACAGGGTGTCCCTTGGATGATCCTGGTTTTTGTCGCCGAAGTCCCTACTGTCATCACAGCTGGTTTTCACCTCAATGGTACGCCTTCCCGTAATATCATTTGGACGTGATTCTCAATGTGCTAGGTCAGAGGGCGTCACGTTGGTGAGCCTCTACCCCTCGAACCCGCAGTACACCTCTTACCTTGGACCATCATAGATTACGCAGCCCTTTGCGGCTGTTACACTGTGAGTCCAGGAAGATGATTTACATGAAGGCCGATATGACGTTACAAGGTTTACTTGCGCTACTCGCACGTATCGCGGTCTCACAGACTATGCACACGAACCTGCCAGGTGCGCTATTTCCCCGCGCGCAGCCCATTATAGCTGCACTAGACGCTGACTTGAGCCTCAGCTTGAACGTGCCAGCATCTGCTGTCACTGCGCGCTTCCAGTCATCTGAATGATACATAGACGACACGATGGTATCAACGACGTAGCACTCTCAAGCTGGACTCTGTTGGACGTGACTGTAGTGACTCGGAATTCCGTTCATGCCCCGAGACTCTTGCACTCGTCTTGTCACCATTTGTGCTTTTTGTCAAGGCGCGATCACTATACACGTATTTAGCTCATTGGTAGAAAGCGTCTCGGTATGAATCTCCGCCTGTGAGTCTTCGCACAATTAGGTGATCTGAGTTCGCCAAACGGCCCAGCGGTCCGACTCTACTGAGGCGGCGAGCTGGAGTATACTGACTTGGGGTACCGGCTCCTAGCCCATGCACCGGCATTTGACGGAAAGATACGTCGCTTTCTGAGCCGCAGGGGCAATGCGCACTTGACAGAACTGGTGTGCTGCTGGGAGCGGTGCTGAGACCGATAGCAGTTAGATGATGGCGCCTGTCAGTGTCATGTGGGCGCGTCGTTGGAATGACGTCACGCGCCGTTTGCCGCGCACACGCCGCCTCGCGCCGTTCGGGGTTCGCGACGCGTCGGGTCTGAGACAAACCAGCACGACCGACACACCGGACACTCTTGCATATGCTCAAGAGTACCTACTCAAGCTCAGCTTGACTACTCTCATCTGTCGGTAATCTCCGACTTGTGGAGTTTGACTTCCAAGTATGCTCACGGTCAATGGTAGCCGACTTTCCAAGCTCGACGTGTGCGCGACCGTGGCAAATGTCACTAGACACCCTTGAAGTGGTAGATGCCCAGCTGGAAGCAGCTGAAGCCAAGCTTCTGGCTCTTCGGCGCCAGAAGAACGCCATGTCTCCTACGCACCACCTTCCTCCAGAGGTGCTCCTGCGCATCTTGTGCTACGCCTCCGACGACATCCTCAACGGCTACCAACGCACGCTCTTTGTATCTCGTCTTCCATCATGGATCAAGGTGACGCAGGTCTGCCATTTTTGGCGGGAGGTAGCCCTCTCTGCTCCGACGTATTGGGCGGACATTGCTCTCCACACACCGAGCTGGATGCGCGAGACTCTCGCACGTTCGAAATCTGCGCTCATACGACTCAGCTACGTCTCCTTGAGCTACAAGGAATACGTACTCGAACCGCTCAAGCAGCTCGAACGCGTCAGCGACCTCACGCTCATGCAAGATAACATCCGTGATTGGTACCTCCCATTGATCCGCGATCAACCTGCCCCGAACTTGCGCGTCCTGCGCCTGGGCTCTCATCTATTCTACGACCCGAGACGGACAGATGCTGCATGGATCGACTTGGGCGACGACAATATCTTTGCCGGAGAACTTCCGCGCCTTCATACTCTCGACTTGTCGATGGTCAAGCTATCAGGCAGACGCTGGCAACTCAGACTCTGCTCCTGCTGCCCCTCCTGCACCGGTCTACTCCGGCGACCCTGTCTCTTTACCCACGCTCCTCAACCTCGTTATATATGATAAGAACGTGCGCAACATATCCGCGTTCATGTCGAACATCAAGCTTTCATCGGCGGCGGCCGTCAACCTCAAGGCGGCGACCTCCCGCATTTCCGACGATGCTGCCACGCTCGAACCCATGCACAAGCATCTTCTTGACGCGGCTTCCCTTCATACTCATGAGCACGATATCGGGCGCGAGGACATCACACCCTTCAGCGACCTTTATTGGGCCGGCGATGCAGACGAGTCCATCGCGTTCCAGACGAGCTCGGTCCTGACTCTCAGCATTATATCGCCCGAGGCCGACAACGAGTTCTCATTCTCCCGCAAGCCCAATCTCGACCAATTTACCCCGTCCAAGGGCAGGGAGCCAGTACACTACGGTGCTCAACTCGGCTTCTCCAGCCCCGAGCTCTCAAAGGGCGTCGATCTCATCGCGGACGTGTTCTCCCGTTACCCGACCACCCCCGCCAATCTCACGCGTCTTTCGATCGAGAACATTGACTTGAGCGAGGAGCAGTGGCGCGAGACGTTTGTATCGTGCAAGAACATACTCAGGGTCACAGCCCAGAGCGACACTGCTGCCACGCTCATCCGCGCACTCTTCATCTACGACGACGACCAAGTGCACGACGCCGTGCCTTTCCCGCGTTTGTGGCACCTCGCGCTCGCTCGACTTGATCTACGCACATTCCGCACCGTCGAAGAGGGGAGTTCAACTCTGTTAGAGCTCTATCTCACTCTCGTTAGGCGAGGGCAGCGTGGCATTCCCGTCGGAGGCCTGAAGATAAAGGGGTGCGATGTTGATGTCGAGCACCTCGAGACAATGATCAGGCCTTACCTCTTGCGGCGGGTCATCGCTTGGGACAAAGACGTCGACGGGCTCACGGGGCGCGAAACGCAGTACGAGGACGATGCCGAAGATGACGACGAAGGGGATAGTGACGTTGACATGGACAACTAAAGGCTCGGCGAGTATGCCTCTTGGAAAGGATAATGTATCAATATATTGTGCCATATATACCTTGCTTTAGATATTACACTGTGCACCCTGTATATATCGAGATCCGCCACGCCGAGCACATATTGACTAGTAGTTTCATCGTGCGTGCTCCAAGATAGGGCGCTTTGGCTCGTTCACCTGCTTCAAGTGTGGGAGACAGCGGCATGTATGTTAACACCCAAGCGCGAGAACATCAGGCGCTCTCTTCGTCGTGTAGGAAAACGTATTCCCGCACGGACTGCCCGAATTTAATCACTGTACTTTCTTAAGCGGATGCTTATACGTGATGAAGATTGCGGCTGACCGTCTTTGTGCTGAAGTTCGTAGAACTTCGTTGTTGGAATGGTCTGGTCGTTGACATGCGTCCCATTCGTGGACTCGAGATCTATGATATAGGGCCTGGAAAGCAGTGAGCAGCAAGTTCTGCAAATAGGCATGTCGACATACTTGATGACGGCTTTCGCTGCGCCGTATTCGTCTTTCACGGTTACTTGTCGATCTGGGTAATCATATTAGCGGGATGGCTCGTCGTGTAAGTCAAGCAGTGGCCTCACACTGTATGACAGCATGTTGTTTGGAGCAGGAGGGATGATCCAGAGGTACATCTACGACGACGTGATCTCGCCCAAACAAATACGCGCTTTGTCGAGACACGTGAAGCAAGTCTGTACATGGCATCAGATACGCCTGGGAGAGACCAGTATTGAGATACGCACCGACTTGTTCGTCGCCCTTGAAGACATATAATCTCCACTGCTGCAGGGGTTTACGAGCCTCCGGCGGCTCATTGTACTTCAACAACGTGCTACTGCCGTCCGACTTTCGCACTGTGTTCGTCTCTGCAGCGAGTAATCCGGAAGCACCGAAGTTTGGTTTTGCCTTGTCCTCGGGAGGTACGGAGCGAGATGCCGAGCGTGCCGGAGAGCCTGGTCGGGGTTGCCTGGTGGAAGGAGGCGAGGCCGACCGTTTCCTGTCGCGTTCGCGCTCGCCGCGTCTGCTCCCCCCGCCACGGTCCTCGTACCTTCGGTCGCGTTCACGCCGGTCATAGTCGCGCCGACCGTCTCGGCGGTCTCCGTCTCGTTCGCGGTATCGACCCTCATCCCTCCTTGGCTCTACACCACGATCATCTCTGTCCCTTCTGCGTTCGTCGTACCGAGGCCGTTCCCTACTTCGGTCGCGTCGACTAGAACTTGGATAATCCTTTCTGTCGTCGTGACGGTCGCGCCGGTAATCTCTGCGGTCATCATCACGTCCCTTCATATCACCATTCGAGTCTCTGGAACGCGAGTATGAATTGGACACGACACGTACGGGACGGTGAGTGGTAGAGGCAAGGTTGAATTGATGGGACGGTGAACAGCATGAAGCGCATCATTGCCCTCAGGTTAGGGTTCGCTTGATGGCTTTCCCCAGGCGGACCATTCGGCGCCACTCCTTGCCTTTGGCTCCCACCATCACCAGTCACCCTCTTGTAGCTTTCTGACTCTCGACCTACCACGACTCGATCCGAGTCCTTCTGAGGTGCTTCGACTCCATCACCAGTGCTCAGTGTCTTATCTACCGCTTGTGCATCTCTAAGCGAACCCATACGACTGGTACCTTCTAAACCCGGGCGGAATGACTTCTACCGTAGACGCCATGATTCGGTCTGCCCTCGGTAGCCTCCAGTCCGGCCAGGATAGTGGCTCTTCTGTACTTGAGTCCAAGGACATCCCTGGTCTAGCGAAGTACATGAAGTCTAAAGAATGTCACAATGTCTTCGTCATGGTAAGCTAGTCTTGCCGATGATAGCCGCTTTCTTCTCATGCGAAGTGATAGCTCGGCGCAGGTGCAGATGCTATCAGACCCTCTTAGAGCCATTCTGACCGAGACATCACAGGAGTCTCAACCTCCGCTGGTATCCCGGACTTCCGCTCGCCAGAGACAGGTATGCTACGCGTGCACGGTATTGATCAGAGGTCACTTAGCTGATTATCACTCGTGTACAGGTCTATACGTGAGTAAGGGAGCTATCAGCACTGCTTACGGGTCAACTTAACATACGCGCTCAGGCGAACCTTGCTCGCCTGAATCTCCCGTACCCTGAGGCTGTCTTCAGCATCCAGTTCTTCAGACAGAATCCACATCCATGTAGGCGTGTTAGCAGCCGATATCGGGATTCTAATTTGACTGACAGCCACACCAAGTCTACGCTCTTGCAAAAGAGCTCTACCCGGGCAAATACCGGCCCACCCTCTCGCACTCCTTCGTAAAGCTCTTATCAGATAAACGGATGCTCCGGACATGTTTCACCCAGAATATCGATACGCTGGAGCGACGTGCAGGCGTCCCCGAGAACAGAGTCGTCGAAGCCCACGGCAGCTTTGCGAGCCATAAGTGCATCGACTGCAAGGCACCTTTTGACGACGAAGAGATGAAACTTCACGTCGAGGCAGGATCGATCCCCGAATGCGTCAAGTGTAATGGACTAGTGAAGCCGGATATTGTGTTCTTTGGAGAGTCAGTGAGTACCATCGTCGTAACCACACCGTCACAGAAACGTTCACTGACAAACGCGCTAGCTGCCAGAGTCGTTCTTCACGAATATATTCCGTCTACGCGAAGCCGATCTTTTGATCGTGATGGGCACATCGCTAGTCGTTCACCCGTTCGCGTCTCTAGTTGACAGAGTACCGGAGACATGCATCCGGGTACTCATTAATATGGAACCCGCTGGAGATATTGGGGAACTTGACAACGATATCGTGCTACTCGGCAAATGCGACGAGATAGTCCAACAGCTCTCCGCAGAGTTGGGATGGTCCGAAGACTTGAAAGAAGCGTGGGCCGCGACGGCGAACTCCGTAGAGTCTGAGGACAAGCCGGTCTCTGAAGCGCCTGCTCAAACTTCCTCTGGTGTTGATGATTCCGCCACGAAGCAGGATCTCGAGGATGAGGTGGACAAGCTCGCAGATGCTGTCGGCGCATCCTTGACAACGAAGGATGATTCCGAGGAGCGCCCGACGAAGTCTACATCACTGGCCGACGGGGATTCGCCCACTGATATAAGCCAAGCGAAACCCTCAGAAGTCTCAAGCGCCGCCGAGCCCGACACTAACGCGACCTCACTCCTCCCGGCTGAGAATGATAAACCACAGGGCTCGGACACTAAGGTACGTTCACGCATCTAACTCCTCCACAATGATACTGTCATCTGACTATCGGTATGTAGCTCTAGACTGCCTTCTGGGTGTCGAACCTGTTCGATGCTCATCAGGACATGAAGCCTCAGACTCGTCTCGAATGCTGTCTGTATTAGTCTGTATTAGCACTGCTACAACTGTACTATAATCTTGTCGGTCGTATATGTATTGTACGCGAATACGTAAGGACTCTTCTTACTCGTAGGCTCCTACGCGGATCCGTTATAATGAAGGCAAGGCGCACACTGGCTCCAGATGCCCTTGACCGCATCGCCCCAAGCTTCACTGGCGCCATCGTGTACGGTTGGAATACACGTGATCGCGTTCAATAACAGACGCGTCCGACGCGGCCTCGCGCGTCGTCTCCTTCGCACTGCCCACCATCTCATCGCGTTTGACTCCGTAGGAAGTCCACCCACTGAGAGAGATGGCATCAGCTGCTCTGAGGAGACAAGTAGCCACAAAATGGCAGGACGCGTTCAACCGCTTGAACCGTTCGCAGCCCGGCATATCTGGACTCATGGCTTTCAGCGAGGTGCGTTGTGCTCCAATTTGGCAGTAGGCTATAATACTAAGACTCGCTAGGCATGGCTGGTAGCGACACACTTTTTATACCCGATGAATCTGGGCGATCCTCCGAGGCAGTTCAGTGCGTACTCTACCGCGTGCTAGCTAAATAGTGTGGTTGACTGATATTACCCGAGATCCTCAAGACGTCAAGGCCGCGTTCGACGTGCTCATACAGTGCCGCATGCTACCTATGTTGCTGGAGGACTTTGTTGGTCAGCACGCTCTTAGCAACAATGCTGATGTCGGCGTCCTGATGTTCACAGTGCCGCAGAGAATATGAGGACCAGGCAGCATCTCATCACTGAGGACATCACTGCCCATATGAACGACTATGAAGTTGGCCCCATACTGTTCTCCCTTTCCTGTGCTGACCGGGTGTTAGTCCAGTCAAGATCCTGAGATCATCGCAAAACTCGTCTTCCGTCTCTGCGAGTGGTACACGGCCTGGGCTCCAGGCATTGAGTCAGTACCCCATCCCTGTAGACCCAACCCGTTCACTGATACCATTCAGTTTGGGGCAGACAATCAGCTCCGCCTACACCGATCATTTCCTAACCCATGTCTATTCCACATTACCGGCATCTTTCGCAGGCGGCTTCAGATCCTTGATTGCCGCAACGCTCGCGAACTCGACCACGAATGAAGAAGTGAACGAGCAGTCGCTCATACAGAGCCCGCAGTTGTGGGCGTGTTTCGACACTCTTGGTCTGACCGAACGATACGAGGCGCTCGTGGCAAGCGTCTGCTATGAACATATCGAAAAGCACGTTGTAGAGACTTGCGCGGGCGAATGGGAGGAACCGATGTTGGCGTCGTTGCGAGACTGGATGGCGGACAAAGTTGTGCCGTGGATGTTGATGCCGTATGCTAGAGGCGCGAAGACGGGTACGGCTGCCTCCCCGCTTTGGGAATACCGATGACTGAAGCACTCCGTACAGCCGAAGAAGCCAGAAACATGTTGCAAGGCGTCGGTTCTCGTTTCGATTTCCATGTATGCAAAACCCTATGCGATCTGAGGTGAGTGTTGGAACCTGTCAACTCAACGTCCGACTGACCACGTTAGGACGAAGGAGCTCTTTGACATCATTGTCGACTACCCTGACTCCGAGGGTGCTCTTCAAGATCTCAAGGTATGCACTTTCGCTCATGTTATTCAGCACTAGACGCTGACAGTCACATACAGGAATGTCTGCTCCGCGTCGATCAGCGTCCCAAGCTTGTTCAATCGCTTCGTGCAGCGTGAGTGATCCCGCATATCCATGAGGTTCACTTTCTCAATACGCCATTACAGCAACAAACGCCGCCTATTACATCCAGGTGCCGACACCAAGGACATTCTCACGCAATATGTCTCCATCATCCGTTGTCTTCGGATCATCGACCCTCCGGGCGTGTTGCTATATAAGGTCGCCGACCCTATACGCCGCTACCTGAGAGACCGCCCAGACACGATTAAGTGCATCGTAGCGAGTCTCGTCGGGGATGGAGAGAGCGGCGACTCCCTTGTTGACGATAACGAGCCTATCCAACCTTTGCAAGGCCCACAAGCCGACGACTATACGGATCCCAACTGGGATCCCGAACCCATTGATGCTGGCCCAGGTGCGCTCACACGCTTCAATGAGTGATGTGCGCTCATCATCGCACAGACTTCAGAGCAAATAAGCCTAGCGACATCATCAGTACGCTTGTCAGCATCTACGACTCGAAGGATCTATTCGTGAAGGAACTGCAAGTGCTACTTGCTACGCGTCTCCTCGCCGTGACAGACGGAAACTATGATAAAGAGGCAAGCCCTTTCGATCTACCCGAATCATATGACCCTGATCGTCTCTCAGCGACGGAACATCGAGATCTTGAAGATCCGCTTCGGAGAAGGCCCTCTTCAAGTCTGCGAAGTAATGCTCAAGGACATGACTGACTCTCGGCGTACCGATCAGCACCTGCAACAACAGAAAGCGGTAGGTTGCCTGCAGGTATGCTTCAACGGCCCACTCACGTTGTATCATAGTCCGATCTGCGGGCGACTATCATCTCCCGCCACTTCTGGCCTCCGCTACCAGTAGCGAAGATCGAGATGCCGGGTCAACTCAAAGAGTATGCTCTCTACCTTTCAGATCCGGATACGGCTGACTCATGATCTTAGACTTCAAGACGCTTACGCAAGACAGTATACCCTCTTCAAACCCGACAAGCGATTACGCTGGATATCCTCGATGGGCTCTGTCAAGCTTGACATCGAGCTGCAGGATCGCACTGTCACAGCGACCGTCAAGCCACTCGAGGCTGCCTTCATCGAGCTGTTCTCCGAAACGGGTGCGCTCATCACTTCTCATTCACACTCACTATGATGCCCAAAGTTCCACCCAGATATATGGACTGTTGAAGACCTCTGTATGCGTGTAGGCTCGGGAGTCGAGCGGTCAGCTGCGCTCAAGGCTCTCCTTGCATGGGTTGACCGAGGCGTCCTAAAAGAAGAGGAAAACCGCTTCCGCCTACTCGAGGTCGCAGAATCGTCTTCGCGACCAGCAGTGTCGACCTCGCGCTCTGCAGCGATGGTTGAAGATGAGAGCCCAATCATGTCTGTACAACAGCAAGAAGCTGCGCAGATGCAGGTGTATTGGAAGGTACGTCCGATTAGTGACGCTACAGTATTGAATGCTCATCACGGGGATCACAGTTTATCGAGGGCATGCTCACGAATCTCGGGCAACTTCCGCTTGAACGCATACAGAGTATGCTCAAACTTGCGCCGGGTTACGATCGCACACCCGATCAACTCGCGGCATTCCTAGAAGCTGCTCAGAGAGAAGGGATGGTCATACTCAACCAGGGATTCTGGAAACTGCAACGGTAGTATACGTGTTCATCATCATGGACTTCATTGTGTCGCCTGCATGCCCTCTTTATGATACTTTTCCCCTCGCTTATATATTCACGCTATGACGTACGGTAACGATCGGCTGCCGCGTGCACACGGACGGCCGTCCCTCCGCTATTAACTCCCGTGATCGCGTGTCGCTGACTCGACTGCTGGAGGTTTCGCAGCGACTATGAGCAAGGTCTTCGACTTGCGTTCGACCACCAGCACGTTCAACGCGGTCTCCCTGTCGAACAAAGGCACCATGCCTTCTCATACTCACTCCGAGCCGACCATTACTGCGGGCCCTCCTCATGAGACTGTCAATGATGTAGAACTTGCCTTGCGGCCTTCCCTCTCGCGTTCATCTCTGTCCTCCGCGCATTCATCGAATGTCACAACTACCGACGGTCCGGGTCTCGCTCTCAAACCGGTCGATAGGGGCTTCGCTGCCTGGTCGTTCGTACGCAGATCAGTGATGCATCACCCCACCACAACTCATAGTGATTGACAGCTTGCGGGAGCATTCGTCGTAGAAACCCTCGTATGGGGGTTCCCGAACACTTACGGTGTCTTCCTTTCTGTGTACCTAGAAGATCCCAGGTTTGGATCACAGCTCCACGCATCGTCTATCTTGCCCTTGGTCGGTACTCTCAGTAGCGGCATCATCTACTGCTCAAGTGAGCCGTTCAGCTTCAGGTCGGATAGCGCTCGTTGATGAAGACCAAAGGTCCTTTCTGGAACATATACCTGCGTCGCTACCCCAGACATCGCCGTCCGGCGATGTGGCTCGGTGCTGTTACTAGCTTTGCAAGTTTGTTCGGTGCGAGCTATGCGCGCTCGGTGAGTCGCGTGCGACGTCCGGTCTACGTATTTTGACTTTGATCATCAGATCAACGAGCTCGTAGCATTGCAGGGCGTACTCTATGCCCTGGGAGCTTGTGAGTACCGGTCCTATCCCGCGCTGTGGAACTAACGTGCCACAGCCCTAACCTATCAGCCAACTATATCGTACATGAGTGAATGGTTCGTCGAGCGACGCGGTATGGCGAACGGTATCATGTTCGCCGGCGCCTCTCTAGGGGGTCTCTTCCTTCCACTCATCCTGCCACCTCTCGTTAAGTCCCACGGATCCCCGGCGACTCTGCGCTACCTATCGGTGGCTGTGCTGGCCATCTTGCTCTTCGTCATACCGTTCATCAAACCGCGCCTACCTGAGTCTCGTGTTCGTGGTCCTGGAAGACGAGAAGAGAACAAAGAGTACATGAGAGATTGGCGCTTGTGGTCACTCGTATGCATCAATACTATCCAAGGCTTTGCATACTTTGTACCTATTGTATGGCTCCCGAGTAAGTTGTTTCCGGCGCATAACTTTCCTGTGTAGATATGCGTGTACTGACGATGCCAACAGCTTTTACTTCAGCGGTCAACTCTTCCACCTCCGTTTCTGCGTTGGCTGTTGCCCTGCTCAATGGTACTTCCGCTCCTTTGATCCATCACTTTCGAGGCGCTGAATGAGATATTGCACAGGTGCTTCAGTATTCGGACGTCTTGCCATGGGAGCCCTATCTGACAGAGTTTCTCCGTGGCTACTGGCGGCCTTTACACTGTTGCTCTCGTCTATATCGACGTTTGCGCTCTGGGGGATAGCGGGAAGTGCCACTGCTGGCATTCTTGTCTTCGGTGTCATTTACGGGCTTGTTGCCGGCGGATGGTCGTCCCTATGGAATGGATTCGTAAAACCGATCTCAAGTACGTCACCTTGCGCTGATGTTTGATCGCTCTCTAAGTATATTGCACAGAGGGCGACCCTACGACTGCGACATCATTATTTAGCATCCTCTTGATGTCCCGTGGAGTCGGCAATGTCCTTTCCACACCGATATCTACAGCGCTGGCGGCCAATTCCAGTCAAAAGGTCTCCCCGGTACACATCGGCTTCGATGTCGATGGGGGTAAGTATGAATCTATGATTGTATACGTGGGCACGTGTTTTGCTATAGCGTCCTCCCTCACTTTGGCCGGCTTTGTGCGCGAGCGCATGGTATCCAAGTAACCTACTTCTAGGCGCTTTCAAATAAACTCATCGTATTCGTATGCACACTGCTTCTTGTGCTCGCTTTCTATGTACTTAGTACGCGCGGATGGGCGGCAATATCGAAACTCTCGTGACCGCGTCTCGATGACGTAGTTCATCATGATGACAAGAACCTTCAACATGTCGATACTTTCCTCCGACCGTCATCGCGTCATCTTCGAGGGACAGTCACTCTACCAAGTTAGCCTGCGTATTCATGCCTGGAAGCTCCAGTGAAAGTAGTGCCTACGGTGCTCAAAGCTCCGTCGCCACCACCGATGACATTGAGCTCGCGATACACCTTCCTTTACCGCCGTCCTTGTCGACACCAGCTGCATCATCCTTACGGTCAGTGCCTCATGAAGAGCGTGGAAGAGCTCTCAGGCCCGTCGACAAAGGCTTCGGCGCTTGGTCCTTTGTACGCGAACAATCGCACTGAAGTGCCCGAAGGCTTATTGAAAACCGTCTGCCAGCTTGCAGCGGCCTTCATCGTACAGACCGTTGTTTGGGCCTTTCCCAACACCTACGGGGTCTTCCTCTCCGCCTATCTAAACGACTCCAGATTTGTATCACAACCTCATGCGCATTCCATACTGCCATTGGTTGGCACGTTGTCAAGTGGGATTATATACTGTTCCAGCAAGTTGCTAGGATGCTTTTGGTGGGTTTCAGCTATTGATGCAGTTTGCGAAGGCCCCTTCTGGGATGCAATCTTGCGTCGTTATCCCCGGCAACGGCGCCCTGCAATGTGGTTGGGCGCATTCATGTGTTTTGCCAGCCTCCTCGGTGCCAGTTATGCGACTACGGTCAGTGTTTTGTCCAACTAGTCTGCTTCAACCACTGTATGCAACACCGTAGATCATCGGACTGGTGACATTGCAGGGCGTAATCTACGCGCTAGGAGCATGTGAGCTCTCGAGTTTGCTGCCCTCCCCTTCGCAATACTGATGGCGCATAGCTCTGATATGGCAGCCGGCTCTCTCCTACCTCAGCGAATGGTTCGTCGAACGTCGTGGGATGGCGAACGGTGCCATGTTCGCGGGTACAGCTTTGGGAGGTCTATTCCTGCCGCTGATATTGCCGCCGCTCATCACATCCTATGGATCAGCTGTGACCCTGCGGTACTTGTCAGTAGTCGCCATCGCAGCATTGATACCCGCACTTCCGTTCATCAGGCCGCGTCTTCCGGAGAGCCGTGTACAAGGCCCTTCAAGGCGTGAAGAGAGTCAAGCCTGGATGAAGGACTGGCGGTTCTGGGCGTTGCTCTTGATCAACACTTTGCAGGGACTCGCCTACTTTGTGCCGCTCGTATATCTTCCTAGTAGGTTGCTCTCTGGATGCAGGAAGCCGTGAACTGATCAAACTCAAAGCATTCACATCATCATTGAACTCCTCAACTCTTGTTTCTGCCTTACCCATCGCGTTATTGAACGGTTCGTTGAAGAAGCTTTGTCCATCAACGATAAATGCTGACGTGGTTGTTGCTGTAGGTGCTGCTGTATTCGGGCGCGTCGGCCTGGGAGTACTATCTGACAAATTCTCCCCCTGGCTTCTCGCCATCTACGCTCTTCTGCTCTCATCAATCTCCACATTCATGCTGTGGGGTTTTGGAGGTGGTGCCACTGCAGGCGTGATCGTCTTTGGTAGCGCCTACGGGCTCGTCGCTGGAGGTTGGACGTCTCTTTGGAATGGCTTCGTGAAACCATTATCTAGTGAGTTCTTTCCTGCGTCTGCTCCGCCACACATCATGCATCATGCCTAACATTGGGCCTCTCAGAAGGGGATCGCACCAATGCTACTACGTTATATAGCATCCTCCTTTTCTCACGAGGCTTAGGAAACGTGATATCCACACCCATCTCCAACGCTCTGGCGGCAGAGCCCGTCCCAGGTACTCTTCGCGTGCACACCGGCTTCGACGTAGACGGTGGTCGATACGGGTCGATGATCCTCTACGTAGGGTCCTGCTTCGCAGCAGCATCCGTGCTCACTACTGCGGGCTTTGTCTGCGAGCGCATCATGGCCAAGCGGTCAAGCTGACATCTTCGGATTAGAGTACAACACATCAAGAACTGGTACATCGAGTTACTTGTATCGCCATCTACACTCTCTTAGACTTGACCACTCCTACCAATGCCAATTCCTCCAGTAACGTCTCATGCCTGTACTTCAAGCGTGCGTTGGGTACATTGGTCTACCAAAGCAACGGCCATAAGTGAATGTGACGTGCAAGAGTGAGAGAAGCGTACCCTGTTGATCTCGTTACCGGCATCGCCGGGCAGATACCAGTTGTGGCCAAGCCAATGCCGCTTGATCTGCATTTCAAATCCACTCTGTATGACCGAATTGCGAGCAAGCTCGCACAGTGAGCTCTGAGGAAGCTTGAGTATCTGAGGGGATGATAGTCAGCGCAAGACCACACGTTGAAAGAGTACGACGGACATGAGCTGCAACGCTGTACTCTTCGAGCAACGGCTCCTTTGTGAAGTGGAATTGCAATGGATCGTCGGTACTGAGGCTGATGTTGAGGCCGGTCTTGAAGAACTCCGGGACCGGGTTCCGTTCATACGCAAGAAATAGCGCGTTGTTACTTAAGGGGCTCATAGCGATACCGATCTGCTTGAGGTAGAAGAAGTACTGAAGCGCGGGAACTTTACGGAGGAGAATGCCGTGTGAGATTGAGTGCGAGGTGAGAAAGGCGGCGGTCAGATGGTCGGTGTCACCGGCTTCTCCAGAGTGCGGACGGAAGACGAAAGTGTCTGAGATGAGATAGTTAGAGAGACGTCGCAATTGTTCCCACGGTGTAACTCACTGAAACCGCGCTTCTGTCTCCATTGATTGAGACTGGTCATGTTAGCGAAGACGTAATACACCCTGGTTAGCGATCAGTGTTGGTGTCTACATCTTGATAGGATGCGCTCGGACCAGTATGAGTAAGGCGGAGACTGCGGGTAGCTCCAAAGGTTCGGGTAAGGGAACTTCTTATGGTAGCGGCGCTCCGTCTTCGATTCGTCGTCCACAGTATCGAAGCCAGTGACTCGCTTCAGGAACTCATGGAGCTCTGGATGCGAGCTGGGGTCGCGAGTCACCTCGAAGAGGGGCTTGAAGACATCTATGAGAGTATATGTTAGCCACAGCTCTACGCGGACGTCCGGATCAACGCACTCTTGACAATGTCTGCGAATGTGTCTACGGACCCATTCGCCTTATACACGTCGTACAGGCGCGGGATCTGGATGAGCCATCGCACGTTGTGAGAGTACAACTTGTTGTTGACGATCCAGCGTGCCAGCTTGTCCCACTCGTCCTCGTTACGGCCATAGATGCTGAGTCTCCATTCACAGTTCTAGTATGCCAGGTTAGGATCCCCTCACTCTACGGTGAGGTGCAGAGACTCACCTGGTACTTGCTTTGCTCCAGATCGGTCATGACCTCTGCGACTAGAGATCAGTTTTCGTAAGGCGCCTTCTAGGGGTTACACGCACCACGAGTCAGTTCCGCGAGGTATCGGCCCTTGATATAGTTGTCCGTCTTCAAGAAGATCTCACGTAAACGAGACTCTCCGATGGGATTATACTTCAGGTTGAACTTGTCGAAGCGGTGGAAGGAGTCTTGGTGCGCGTGCATGTCCAACGTGTCGATTGACAGGTCATACGCGCTCAAGTTCAATGATTCGAAGACTTGAGCGAGAGTAAGATGTTTTCCGTCACGGAAGATCACGACGTCCTAGATGTCCCGACGGGTCAGTATGCTCAGGTGTGAAAGCATATTGCGAAGCGCACATCAGGGGAGCGCTTCATCTTGGACTTGATGAAGCGAAGAAGATGCTTCTGGTTCATGCTACTGGAGTGGTGGACGTGGGTGTCGACCTTACGTACGTTGTAGAAATCGCTGCATACAGTCAGCATAGTGATGTGACCGGAATGAGGGATCGCTCACCGATGAGGCACCCCCTATGTACGAAGTTCTGTCGTCAGCGGTTGCGCGCAGCGAAGGACAATGAAGACTTGCCTTCATGGACGCCATCTCCTGGAACTCGTTAAGCATGAGGTGCATGGAGAACTTGCTTGACAAGTACTGCAAGCGGCGGAAGGCGAAGCTCTTGGATGGTCCGTCGGAAATGACGCTGAGTATGTAGTCGAGATCTATGAAGTATTCCCGGATGGTGGGTACTTCGTACACGGGTTTCTTGTTTTCATCTACGTGGTGCGAGTCAGTAAGCTCCACCAAGGAGCGTTGGAGCGAACGCGAACCCTTTAAATCAGCATATACCTGATACACGCCGCGTTCGTCGATCTGGAAGTCGTAGCCGTCGCTGTCAGCGCCCGGCACTTCCGCCAGGTCCTCCTCAAACTCCTCGTCATCTTCGGTCTCTTGCGTACCGTCGGCTCGAGTGACCATTTCTTTCGAAGACGACCAGTGCCAATGAGGAGGAGGCGGTTTGGGACGAATCTTCCAGGGCCTGTGGCGTGATTGCGTCGATAGAAGGTCTTCACGGTTGACGTCGACGTCCGGGCGCAAACCAGATACATCTGCGATGTCTCCGTTGAAGCCGTTGAATGAGCCATCGTGGTCGCGTGGGTTATCGCCCAAGCGCTGGCAGGAGTACTTCATGTACTTGTCGCGAAGCTCGAGGCATTTACGGAACGACTGGAGGATGTGAGAGAAGTCTGCGTTCATGAGCTCCGCCGGAATGGCCACTGCGAATTATCAGTCATTGAACGTCTCGCGCAAACATCCACTAACAAGGTGCAGTGGTGTCATGTACACCAGCGTGGGAGGCATGGTCGGCGGCGTGCACTGCAACCGTGGCAGCAGTGGGATGCGCTGCCGGATGCTCCTGAGCAGCATGAAGTTCAGATGTGTTGACCTTGGGGGTCGTTTCAATGAATGGGTGACTGTCTGCATTCATCGCGCCACGCGTGGGAGATGTGCTCGTGAGGGCGATGGGCGAGGTACTCAGGAGGCTGTGGGGCCGTGTCGCGTCTGCATTTGAAGCGGACTGGCGCCTATGCGCGTAGGCCTTTTCTGTTATCTATCGAGTGACCATACACGAGGCGTAAGAGAGACAGCTTGCTTCGAGATTCGCCCAATCTTAACGCACATGGAGTTGATTTCTCTCATCGCTGTAAGTGTAGTAGCCATCGCTGGGCTCCGGGATATGTACGCCGGGGGACCGAGTACCATTAGGCGAATCTTCTGATTGGCGTCTAGAGAATGCATACTGACTTCCGGGCGTCGAGGGCGCCGAATCACCTCTTGAGGCAGGCAGATCGTCCAAGCTCGTAGATGACATCAGGACACTGAGCAGGGAGACTGAATGTTCAGATGGTGGTGTCGGAGAAACCGCGCAACGTGTACAATAACGAAGTTTGCTAGCCCGGTGCCGTGATGGTCAAGGGCAAGTTTGCGCTGCCGCTTCCAAGCTTCGTTCCGTCGATTGAGCACAACGGAGGATGGCCGGATGATCGGCGGAATGGCCACGCGAGTTTTCGGGCCGTGGATTCTCGTGCCGTTGCCGTAGAGTTTGACTCTCACCAGCTCTCACCGTCGCGAGCTTCAACTCCTCTACAATCCGTAGTCCCTCGATGCAGGGGGTTTGCACCCTTCAAGCACCCTTGACAGAGTCATCTACATGCTGTGACTCCTACAAGACCGAAGCCCGAAGCTGACGGTGACGATACTCGCGAAGATCCCGGTTTCCATTCCGCTCGCGCTCGACTGCTTTCAGTACTTCCCCGTGTCCCCAGAAGAGCCATGGCATCAGTACGCCTAGAATATGAGATTCATTCCTCGCGGAGACCCTTGGCCCGCAATCAGCCGCTTCTTGCCCGCCCAACAATCTGCCAGCCTTGCACTGAAGCTCGTATTACCGTTCAACGTCCATGCGCAGATCCTCATGTGCGCGGTACTGACAGACGCCTCGAGCTGTATAGCGAGCGAAGGAAGTCTATGCTGTGCAAACGTAAATCAAGTGCACGCGGAGAAGCAAACGAAGCCCTATTTGGAGAGCGGCTGATGCATGCAAAAACTGACAGCTTACCGATACGTCCGGTCTGGATTTCCTGGCTGTCAGACAGCGTGCAGGTGATGTTGATCATGCTTTGAGCGCTCTCGAAGCTCTTCACCACCGCGGAGAGGTTCTTACCCGAGTGCAAACAAAGTTCGCGATGGCCAGTCTTCATCGTTGTTGGCCCATACCTGATGTTCATCCGACAGCAATTCGCTACACAAGCGAGTGTGTAATGAGCGGGTATATATGGCTGCGACGGTTCGCGACCATCTCTGTGCCGCCAACCTAGTTCAGGTCGGCGCTCTGCTGGTGTTTACCGCACACCACCACTACGCACAACACTAGCAACATCCCTACCCGGTCCTCCGCCCGTTCATCCGCGAGTCTACTCCGTCTCGCAGGGCGTTGACCATCATGCCTTCCCTCGTTCCGTGCTCCCATACGTGAGTTCTTTGTCTTCTATCGCCGCGGGTCACGATGTTGACTTCCCGAGCAGTAGCATACCCGCCGCCTCGACAACCTCGTTCGCTTATGGCGGCTTCCTCAACTCAACGCCCGACTCGCAGCAGCACCTTTTCCCGCGTCAATCCCAGGCGCATTTCGTTGTGAGCGGTGTACAGGGCTCCGGCGCGCCGAACCGGATCGAGATCAACGACTTCGTCAAGCAGGATGACCAGTTCTCCTTGTTCATCCAGGCGCTCAGTCAGTGTTCTGGACGTCTCGCTCGGGACTTGACGCTAACTCAAGAATACAGCTGTTCTCCAGAACGACACCCAATCTCTTCAGACTTCGTACTTCCAGATGGGCGGCATTCATGGTCTGCCCTTCATCGAATGGGGTGGCTCAGGCGGCGAGACTGGCGCTCCTGGCTCTTGGGGCGGATATTGTACTCATGGAAACGTTCTCTTCCCCACGTGGCATCGACCGTACACGGCGCTTTTCGAGCAAGTCATACAGGAGCAGGCCATCGCCATCGCGAACACTTACGAGGTTAACGCTGAACAGTTCATGTCCGCCGCGCAGACCCTTCGCGTACCATACTGGGACTGGGCGATGAACAGTGTCCCGCCCGACGAAATCATCGAGTTACGGACTGTTACGATCACCGCGCCAGACGGCACCCGCAAAGACGTCAGCAACCCGTTCTACGAGTACACTTTCCATCCTATCGATTCAAGCTTCCCCTCGCCCTATAGTAACTGGCAAACAACACTGCGCCACCCAGACAACCAAGGCCCCTCAGCAGTATCAAGTGTTCCCGATCTACGGAGGTAGGTTCTTCACCCGAAACCCATGCCCTTCGTCGTGCTCAAACTCATTCGTTCGTCAGCCGCATGCAGTCCGTTCAAGAAGATGTTCGCGCTTCGACGTACAATATGCTGACTCGTGTGCGCACCTGGGAGGCGTTCAGCAATCATGACGTCGGAGACGGAGGTAGCACGAGCAACTCTCTCGAGGCCATTCACGACGGCGTCCACTCGGATGTTGGCGGCGCGGGGCACATGGCGGACCCCGCTGTGGCTGGCTTTGACCCGATCTTCTTTCTCCACCACGCCAACGTCGATCGCATGGTTGCGCTCTGGTCGGCCATCAACCCCGGCGTTTGGGTCACTGATGGTCCTGCGGGCGACGGCACTTGGACGATTCCAGTCTCGGGTACGGTCGACAACACCACGAACCTGACGCCGTTCTGGAACAGCGAGAGCACGTACTGGCTTTCAACGGACAGTTCCAGCACGCAGCGCTTCGGCTACTCGTACCCCGAGTTCAACGGCCTCGACATGAACAACCCGCAAGCGGTACGCACGACCATCCTTGCGACTGTCAATAAGATGTACGGCGACAGCGCATCGTTCGCGGCTGAGGCGGCGTCCGAGGAGGACGCTTTCGGATCGCTTGGCCTCAGGAAGCGCGGGCATTGGAACCCCTTCGACAGCGACGGCCGCATCCGCTTGCTTGACAACCTCGGCGGTGACGGCGACGACGACGAGGATGGCGGTCACACGTACGTGACTGAGCAGAATCTGTGGGACTGGACAGTGCGGATCCAGGTCGACAAGCATGCGCTTCCCAAAACATTTAGCGTCCTCATCTTCCTCGGCGACGTGCCCAACGATCCGAAGAGCTGGCGTAAGGCGTCTTCGTTCGTCGGATCGTTCTCGGCCTTCGCGCACAGCATGGCTCGTCACCGCGGTGGTGCACAACTCGCACAGGGCTTTGTGCATCTCAACCGTGTGCTTGCCCGCACCCAGGGCGTGCACGGATTTGATCCTGAGGAGGTCCAACCGTACTTGCGCACACACCTCCAGTGGCGCGTCATGTGCTCTGATGGCACTATCGTCGACCCTGGTACCCTCCCGTCTCTCGAGGTCGTCAGCATCGGTACGCCCGTCAAGCTTCAGCCGGGCGCGGAGCTACCGGATTACGGCGAGCCCACGTACTACTACGACGTCACGGAGGGCAAGCCCGGAGGCGCGCGCAGCCGGATGGACAGGCGCGCGGCGCTTTGAGAACTAGTTGAATTTGAAGGCGAGCGATTGAAGGCGGCGATGGCTGCAAACATCTTTCATACCTATCTTTCTATACCTACATATACCGGCTTGTGGTCATGAGCTATACCAATCAATGACTACACTTGATGAACACACGGCGGCAGGTATTTACCCAGGACTCAGCGCCTCGCCAAACTTTGATCACACAACGAGACGCGAGCATTTCTCCAGATAAGCATCAGCACCACCAAGGCTGTTAGAAGAGGTATTGTATGTGTCAACCAAGACGCCCCACATTCCCAACGGGGTTTGCCATGGCCGCTCCTGTTCAATAAACCTTAGTTCAACCTGCTCGAGGCCGCCATCATGCGTAAGACGTACCCATCTGCTGTCCAACCTGCGCTGTCTTCTTCAACGCATGCTTTAAGTATAAGCAGCTCACAACGATACGTTCCAGATCCACCGAAGCTGCCGAGTCCTCAATTCGCAGGGTGAAGTAAGGCGTTGGATGTTCGTCGCCGTGCTGTGGCGCGCGTAGATGCGCGAGCTCGAGACCAGAAGCTGACTGAAGCTGTGCAAAGGAGGGCGCTTATAAGTCAACATGCCCGGTGCATGTCGCTGAGCAACTGCTCACCTTCAGGTCTTTGTAGTTCGCCTCAGACCATGTATGGACGTCTCCCGCCGCTGAGGTGATTTCCCAGCGCCTAGGTTGTAAACTCTCACGTCAGGTGTGAGTAAGGGCTCTGAAGATGCCATCGCTGACCCTTGGCCTTCCGGACGCACGTAGTCCTTCGCCTTCAACTTCGCTGTTTCCTCTCCGAGCAGCTCAATCGTGTGGGGAAACATGTTGCGAAAGCAGAGCTTCGCCACTACCGTGTGTTGCACCTGGGGACTTTCCGAACGTTTCGTTACAGTGACTTCAGTCGACGATCGTCCTGGGTGCGATGTCGCAGTGAACAGGATGATGCCCGTGTCAGCGTCGATGAGATCAATTTCCAGACGGCGTTCTTCGAGGGTGAGACGCATAGTGGGAGAAGAGACGAGTGCAAGACTGGGACACCATGCATTTCATCGCGGGCATAAGTGTCTTCAAGTATGCACAGCCTTGCCAAGGGTACTTGCCCTATTCAATACCCGCTTCTGCCCCCGTGACAGAGAAGTAAACATGTAGAATGCCGGATACTGCGTTCATCTGTTTCAGCGATGGCATTCGAGCCGCACACAGGCCGATATAACAGGCACCAGACAACATCTGTTACTTGTGCCCATAAAAACGTCCCGATTGGTGAGCCATCTTCGACGTGAGCGAGCCCAAAAAGACGTCTTATGGCCACAGGGTCCTGAACGTGGCGATGTATCAAGCCCAAGACCGATAAAGGCGCGGTGCGATGAAGGCGGAGCTCTGAACGTCAACCCTAACCCTAACCACATCGCCTTTTGGCCGATGCTCAACACCACTACTTATGTACATCCAAGATCTCTCATACCGTTTACAATGCCTGAAAACGCCGCGACTCGACTAGACTCAACTAGTCGGGCGTGTTGAGCTCCTACTTCTGGTCATTGAGGCGTGCCACTTCGTTACGCTCCAACGCCCGAATACTACTGCGAAAGAATGTCAGCCAGTTCGATCTTCACGAGACAGCCGGCATGATAGGAGAAAGGCAGAGAAATCAGAGAGAAGATAATGCACCCTGATTGGGCAGGGTGGCGTCCTAGGTGAGCGGCGGCGCAGAGCGCGCGTCCCCGCCTCTGCAGATGTGATCGATACTTCGGATATCATCATATAAATAGCAAGAAGGTGACATGGTAGGGAGGCATCTCGCGGAAAACACTCACCGAAGAGCTCTCTAAACGCCAGTATTGGCTTAAACGTACATGATCTTGCTCTTCGCCCTGATGTGGTGACATGCATGGTAGCCATCGAATCGGTCATCACGTGCCGTTCTTGTACGTCTAAGCTGGCACGCGCACGTCCCAGACCGCCACGCCTTCAAGGCCATCCATGGCGTCTAGCAGTTGCGCACGCCCGCTTCCTCGAACGCATCTGAGTAGGGCGCTACTGCCCGCAAATGTCAAACCTGCCAAGCTGTGAATAAGCGCCCGAGTCCACACGCCAAGAAAAGGCCCATACCGCCCTCGCTACCCACACGATTGCACACCACTACGAGTACCTCACTTGGCTCGCCGTCTGCAGCGGATCCGCCCATATATAGCGGACGCAGGCGATGTGCCCAGTAGCGGATGGTGTCCCAATCCTCGCCTTCAGTCCCAGCGTCCCCGCCGTCTGCTTCGGAGGACGAGCGTAACCACGCGTTGATCAGCACTAGCACGCGCGCACGGGTCGCTATACAGTGATCCGCTAGTTCGAATATCTCGGGATCATCGTCTGGAGCGGGGAACGGATTGAGGTCCATGCAGATGGCGACACAGGTACGTCCCAGTTTGGGGAGGTTGAATGTAGTGAATGATGTACCTGTACTTGTGATCAGAAGAGGATCTGCGGGAAGGGTTCAAGATCATACCTGGCTTGGCCCATCCGACGTCCGACCGGAAGAGGTTCGTCTTTCGCGCGCACGCTGCAAGAGCACCATCCCCCGCACGAAAGACTAGCGCAGCATTCGCACCGAGCTCCCGGCGCTCTCGACCTCTGCCATACAGATCTTCGTCCCTAGCGGTGGCTGCTCGTCAGCTATGATGGAGATATCATATACTGGATGCCATGCTCACCGACTTCCGATATCATGCGAATACGCCGCATCACCTGGAAGAATCCCATCTGCGCGCGTCTCCGTACTGTGTAGAGCGATAGGAGCACCGGCAAAGACATGTGCATCGAGTGTGCGCGCTAACGCTGACAAGAACAAGATGGTTGGACCGGGCTTGTTGGCCTCCGGATCGGCTGGTTTAGGCGGTGCAGTCTCCAGGGCGAGCGGTGAGGACGTTGTAACATCTTCAAGCAGAGGAACAACATCTTCCGGGGTGTCAAAGACGTATCCTAAGTAGTGATCCATGTTAGTGCGCTCTAAACGGTGGAGAATGGTCTCGTGACGAACCAGTGAAGGCCATCTCAGGGAAGAACACTGCGTCGACAGTATGACCATTCTTGCCTACCCTGCACCAATGATCAGGAGGAAGGATCAAGAGCAGTATGCACGAAGAGCTACGCACCCAGCGTTCTCAAGCAATTGATTCGCCCGTGCTATGTTGCGCTGTACATCGCCGTGCACCGGTGCTAGCTGAACAACAGCCAGCCGCAGCATTGCGTTCTGCACCAGAGCGCGTGTGGTGTCCTTAGCCAAAGATTGGGCCGCAGCTGTTCGGCGAGAATGGAGAAAATGTGTGCCGAGCAATGCGTTCGCAGGTCGAAGTGTTACGCCGGTGCCACCGTAGCGGCTAACAGGAAGACGCCCGTATTTCAACGTCGTGTAATGTGATTGGGCCCGCGTACAGTAGTTCCACACTCTGCGACCCTGGATGGCTTATAGGGAAAGTCGCGCGAGCTTCATCCGGGTCGAAGCGTTGATCATGGGAGTGAGCAAGTAACGAACCCGGCGAGGGATGATTGATGGAAACTACGCGTGCTCGAGGCGTGCCGGCTAGACAAGGCTCTCCTTCCTACCGCCACCACTTCCCAGGTATCCCCTGTGGCTAAGACATATCATATACGTGTATCTCGCGTCCCTACGTTTTGCCGGGCACATTCACAACTCAGATATGACGACGTCCACTGCTCTTACCACTCATGCCTCCGTCGAGCGCACAGCTCATAGTACGAGCATTGCAAATCTACCCTATGATGTTCTATGCGAGCTCTATCATACTGCTGCGATATTCGATCCTCCCCGTGGACCTCGACAAGGGCTGGACGATCACTACTGTAGTCGCCCTTCGACATTTCCTGGGGATCTCGGATGGATTAAATTGACACACGTCTCGCGCCATTGGCGCGAAGTCGGTCTAGGCTTATCTGCCCTGTGGGCAGGTATCGTGTGCGCGTTCCCGCCGACTATCGAAGATATATTATTGAGGGCGGGAAGCACTCCGGTTGCCGCGGTCCTTGAACAAGACGCTGTGACGAGTGCCTACCGATGGTCATACGACGATATCGGTCGCATCCTCCCCAGAGCCCGCTCGCTTGAGATCGATTTCCTCTACAATCACCGCAAATATGACGTACAAGGGCCTTGGTGCCGGCTCTCGATGGCTGGCCAAACCCTCCCGTCGGTGGAACGTATGCGCGTTCTGGATTCTGGGGTGGTATACCAAGATGGGCATGTCCTTCGTTATTTTGGACATGCTCCAGCCTTGCACACGCCCAGCCTACGCGCCCTATCGATCGACCTTCCTTGGCCCATCCATGCACCGTCCCTGCGAAGTCTATGCATACACCGATACGCGATCCAATGGCCTTGGCAAGTTCTTCTGAACTTCATAAAGTCATTCCCGTTGTTGGAGCAATTGGAGTTTCTGATCATTACCGACGACACGATAAAGAATTCTTTGCTCGGGCGGAGTCGGGCAGCATATCGTATGGACGAAGAGTCGTTGGCCTTGAATGCCATGCGTAGGCATGTTGACCCCCCATCCGTTGTTCACCTTCCATATTTGAAGCGCCTCGTATGCCAGCAGGATGGATGCGCTATACTGGAGCTTATGGACCATCTTGACTACCCGGCGACCACCATCGTGAAGATAATCGACTGTAAATACGACCTGCCGGGTTTCTTCGAGTCCATCATCTCGCGCCCGGGCTTTAATCATGCGCCGCTCGATCACCTCACCATCTCGAGCGTGACAGGCGAGGCGTGGGAGACTACACACTCTGTTGTCAGGACGGTCTGGGCGACAGGCCAGCCTTGTCTTTCCGAACAGCATGTCTCTGACGAGCGTAGCTCGATCGCAATGCGCAACAGCTCTTTTGGAAATCTTCTCAATCGTATGAAGAAAACGGCGGTCCTACCTCCGAGCGAGCTCCGTGGGCTGGCTCTGAGCCACGACTGCACATGCGTGGAATATCCTGGCATACAGTGCAGAGGGATCGCAGAAATAGCCGGAGAATATCGGCTCACGATGTTCCTTCGCCGATGTGTCAACGTCGCGACGCTTTACCTCCACCATCAGGGTCAAATATCATCCAACACAGCCATCATCCTACTCGCACCCATTGATGAGCCTACAATTCTCCCGGCGCTTCGGACGCTGGATATACACGTAGATGAAGTCTACGTCAAGACCTGGTGGACCGACCTGCGCGCCATACTGGAGGCGCGGAGAGACGCGAAGTGTCCAATCACTCGTCTCATCATTCGAGGTCCGGGCGCTTGTCATACCTCCAACTGCCCCGGACACGAGGGACTGGTCATGAAGGACGAATATGCAGGTTGGGATCTTGACGAGGAAGTGTCTACGTGCCTCGAAAGGCGCCAAATCCATCTCGAGGCCGAGGAGTTCTTCGTCGAGGAACTGATAGACGCGCGGGATGACTGGGTGTACCTCTGCGAATGCGAGGAACATTGTTATTCATCATGTGACCTGCATTAGATATATTGTTGCAGTGAATATACGTTGAATGTCTTGAACTATGACCTTCTGGTTAACTCCGTGAGGGAGCGCTTCAGCTGCAAGCGCCGCTCCTGGGCCTGAGAGCGCTCGGGGTCCACATCGGCCCGAAATCCGCCATGGATACCCACACGACAGTGCGCTGTGTCGCATTCACAGCACACATTTATAACGCAAGGACATGCTTCAACACATCCAAGAGGGACTGATAAGAGAAGTACTCTTGATAGGATCGGTAGTTTCCAGATGCCGCTGTTAAATCTACCTCCCAGGCCTCCGTGACCCGCGTGTCTACAAGCGTGGACATCCTGAGGCGTCGTGTTTGATCGTCGTTGAACAAGTTCGCGAACAGTAGAAGAAGCCTTCGCAAACGATATCCGTCCTCGGTCGCGAAGTACTCCAATACCTCGGTGGGTGCTCTCGTAGCAGTGGGGTTCTCGCAGCAGTCGAACGCTGTCCTGTTTTTCCTCGCCTGGAGAATGTCCTCGACAAACTCCTTCCCGAACGCTTGGGAGAACGCATGGCCGATCCATGCTTCGGCTGCCGTTGGCGCTACTGTCCTGATATTCAATTCCTCATCCCCTATAGAGGGTTCGTCGCCAGGCGACATGCTATCGATGAGATTCGACAATTCAGCAGCGCCACTCTCGTCCGTCACCTCCTGCCCGAAGTCCTCGTCCGACTCCGATTCGGCCTTCTCCTTTCTATGATCCAGTCCAACCTGCGCATTCTCGCCACTGTCGTGGTTGTCACTCCCCGGTACTCTCGTGGGAAACATATTGCAAGCCCTCGAGAACCGCTCCTCGAGATGTTTCAGGACAGCGTAAGCGATGACCAGGGTGAAAGACTCCACGTCGTGATGAGCGGTCTTTGGTATCGCGCCTTCATGACTCCCGGATATACTCTCCAGTACGTCTCGAGCGTGGAATTGCAGTGTCCCCTGCCGAGATGAAGTGAGCCAAATTTCATTTGGAGTACGAGGTGTTCGACGTACTGTCATCGCCGGGCTACGGGGCATCTTCTTCGGTAGCGTGAGGGCATTTGTGTCGTCCTCAGCCATCTCGGCGTAGTCAACGTCCGTGAGGAAAGCAGAAGTGAGTACGTCGAGCTCAGAAAGATCGTGTTCAGCCCTGAGCATGACGTTCTCAGCGCTGATGTCGCGGTGCAAGATACCCTTGACACACAGTGCTTGATGCGCTGCGCAAAGAGAATATGGTGAGATCGGTTAAGGCAGGAGGGATATAACACACCTTCAACTACGCTAATCATAGCTTGTATCAGTTCAGGAGCCGTCTTGAACTTCCATAATAGTCGCCCGGGGTGACTGAGTACCAGGCGAAGGCAGACACGCGTTGATATCTGATGGTCAATGCATGGAGGAAGACCGCGCAGGCGACGACAGGTGTTAGCCTCGGTATCGCCTACGCCATGAACTTCGTCTAATGCAAGCATAGAGCTCATGCACGGCTGCGAGACGGGTGCTGCACACGATGGCTTGTGCGTGAGGATAGCTTGGCGACTCCGCGTCTGAAGGAAACGCACTGCCAAGCGCTGGTGCCCGCTTCATCGGGCCGAAGTCCGATATCGATAGGCGCTTGTGGATGTTAGGCTCTGTCCGTAGTGAGAGAGTAAGGGCGGGCAGAGCCAGATGAAGAGGAACGCAGCGAATGGAAAGAACAAGCAGAGGTCGTAGTTACATGTGTACATCGTCTCACATTCTCTATGCCGCTGTAACGCACCAGCGATCTAAAACACACAAAAAATATAAATACATCTCGTCCATCCAAATCCATCTCCGGCCTAGGTCGGCTTGTAGTACACCGTCGTAATGAACTGGCCCTGTTCAGTCAGAGGTGACATTCCGGTTCCCAGTGTGAACAGGACACGCACCTTCTTCCTATACCGAGTCGTGTTTCCGACGGCCAGCACTCCGTTCCTGATGGCGCTCGTGCTGAGATGGTGAAGCACGACGTGATTGGGTACGGGCAGCACGCTCGCGTCGTCTGCCAATGCAGGAGTGGGCCCTGCGCCGCCGTCGCGTAGGCGAGTCTTCATGCCTGGCGCACGCGACTCCTCCGGCTCGGGCATATCGAGCTCGGGCACGGGTACAGGCGCCGCCCCGCGCGTCCTGCTACCGCGTTCGGCCCTATCTCCCTTGTCCTTCTCGCGCTCCTTATCTCTGTCCCGTTCGCGCCCTTCGCGATCCTTGTCCTTCTTTGAACTTCTGCCCTCCCGCTCCCCACGAGGCTGCGGCGGCCGGGCGTTCAAGATGAGTTTATCGAGATGTCGAGGAAGTAAGGGCGCGGGCGGGATGCGCGGTGCTGTTGCGCCTGTGCCCGCGCTGGAGTGGTCTGCCAAGAACATCTCCTCTTCGTGTGCGGCGGCGATGAGGGCAGGAGGAATGACGTCCGTCCACGTCCCGCTGCTGGCCGCGAATCCAGTCTCACTCCCTCCGCTGCTCCAGAACGAACCGCCGCCGCCCTGGAACTGATGCGGTTGTGGGCCAGGAGGAGCTTGGATCGTCGGTAGCGGGCCGTGGTCGGCTGTCGTGGGAAGAGGGGATGTCGGTTGGGAAGGTGTAGATGCGGGTGCGGGAGGTGCGACGTCGATATAGTTGGCGAGCGAGCCGTCGTCGTCGACTGCAGCCGGCAGGGAATCAGCCACGCGCCAGACGTCGTCGACGATGAACTTGATGTGATGTGTGCCGGGGAGGAGGTTGACCGTGGTACGGAAGTTAATGTCATCACTATATTAGATAATTAGTCAATTGTGATGGACGATGCGGATAGGGGGCGGGACGACGTACAGCCTGTCCATCGGGCGACGGCCCTTCCAGTTCTGGTCGCCTGCGCGTGCGAGGAGAACGACGCGCCCGCCGCCGTGCCATTCGATCGTCGTGGGCAC